GACATCCTAACAGGTTTAGATAGATGTATATGCGATGCACGCACTTTAAAAACCAAATCCAGTCGCTCCGGGCGATGGACTGCCTTTGTAGCCGTCGTCAAGCTCTGCGATTTTATCATCTAAGTAGAAACCCACAAGGACAACGCCGTAAATCAAACACAAAATAACGCCCTTGAAGTAGTTGGACTTACCTTCAGCATAGACGTAAGTGAATAGATAGATCGAGATGAGTGTTGCCATGATGTCCCACCTGGGGAAAATCAAGGAAAATATGTTCTCGACATTAGTGAACTGTTTGATAATAGAGTATATTACCAAAGATGGGATTTGGATCAACACCACTTGCAATGCATAAGCACTACCAATCTCCATGGACAAAGCAACATTACCTCCGACAGCAAAAGAAATGGCATTCACGAATTCAGTGGTATTTGGCACCAAGGCAAAAACGGTGAGACCCAAAAACTTTGGGTTGATTGGGTAGCTTTCGAGCACTTCATCGACATTATCCACCAAGATCTCAGCAATAATAGCATAAAGTAAGGTGGCTCCAAGCAAAATTATGGTAGACTTGTTTCTCGACCAGTTAGGCGCATCATGGCCACCGGCTTCCTCCTCGTGATGATGCTCGTGGTGCTCATCTCTTGCAGGTGGAGCATCCTTCGTAAATTTCACCTTTTGGTTCAAGTCGGGAGTGGTTGCCCCGACTCCAGGTGCTTTCGAAGCATCAGCCAAGCGAGTTTTGTTCAAGTTTTGGACCTGATCCAAGCTGACAACACTTGGAGACCTCACATTATCTTCTTCCTTTCTGCCGGTATGTGGCTCGTGGGAGTTCGTTGCCCAAATGAGAGAAGCATGTGTTCTCAAAGTGAAATACAATCCACAAATGTAAGCGAGGAACAAAGCACAGGCCACCAACACAGAAAATGGACGAAGCAACTCGTAGTAAAGTTTGTCGAGAGCAAAAGTTGGCTGGATAAAGCGGCATTTTGTACAATCATCAGGAAGTGGAGTGGTAGTCTCAAAGTCACACTTCTTGCATTTGATCTCGTAAGAGCCATACAATTGGTAGAAGAGGGATGGCGTGAACATCGTAAGCATGGCGTAAAGAAGCATGGTCGAGGATACACCCGCAGAACGTGGATTGTATCTTTGAGTCTTTCTCTTGATAGCACCTCCACACATAGATAAGCCGGGCAAAAGTAAGACACCTGCTAGAATCGATCCAATCATTGAGCCCTCAACCAATTTGCCCTTCAGCTGGTTCAATGCAACACAGTATAAGAAAATCTCAACAATTGTCGAGAAGAATGCGTTGATAACAGCACCAACACCCATGGAAGATTGTGCAGAAATAGAAGCAACAGCCTGTCCGATGAAATAGGCCAATGGGATGATGGAAAACAAACACATGCTGAACAAAAAGGAGGAGTTGGTGTACCACTCCTGCCAGCCCAAGCTTTCCTTGAGCAAAAAGAAGTCAACAATGACAAACACGACGACAGCCAACAAATTGATGAAGAAAATGTTTGTACCATCGATGGTGTATTTGTAGTAATGTAAACCACAGCATCTGTAGGTACAAAGGATAATGGACTGGTTCTTGTAAAGCTTCTTCGTTTTTGGGTCGTTGATTTTCTTGTAGTACAGCTTCTCTCTTTCATAATGCAAGGCCAATGGTCTTCTTCTCAAGTGATCACACATGATAAGAGTAAGATTGGCGATTGGAATAGTGAAGACGAAGATCCACGACAAAAGCGAAATCAAGTATAAGATCGGCTGCATGATGAAGTAGAAGAACACATAAAAGACGAATCTTCCAGAGGACCAGGCACCACGGCCAAAAAGACGTCTCTTGATGTCGGTTGGTTCGGAATCACCGGAGTCAGTCTCTCCATTGTCGTCATTATCGTCGTTGTAATCTTCATCATCAACGGCGTTATCTTGTGTTTCAGCAGCGTTCTGAGCATCGCTTGATGTTGCGCCATCACCCAAAGAAGAGTATGCAGCAGTCCAGGGTCTTCCCTTATGGTCCTTGAGCAAAGGCTTCGCTTCAGAGGTAGTGCCAGTCATCCTTCTGGGAGGAGCGAAAAACAAACGACCCTCTTCTTGAAGCCTCCACTTATGGAATTCAGAGATAGACCGTCCGTCCAACTCATCCTCGTCCAAGTAGTTCTTGTCCTTGTTGAGCAACACAAACTTGCCAAAGGGATAGAGCCAGTAGTAGCCCAAGTTGACAAAACTCCGCACATAGGGGCGGGACTTTTTGTCCCATGCAAATCCGGAAAGCACGAAGACCATCAATGCACCAAATTGACAAAGCAAGAACAAGAAAAGACCAAAAGTGAGACTCCAGAGCAAGTTGGAGACGTGTACGCCCCAATGGATCTTTCCTGTTGGTTTGCGTGGATCGAAGTCATGAATATCCTCGTCAGCACGGGCCTCAACGGAACGGTTCTTCTTATAAATAGAAGGCTTCCAGATCTTGATACCGAACGGGTGGGTGGAATTGATGGCATCTTGTCTGTCCTTCAAGTTGAGGGATTCAACAGAGGAGCACGAGTGGACCGATTCACCGTCTTCAGCCTCCAATAGATCCTCATTACCGCCTTCCTCACCCAGGCCCTCATCCTGAGAAGTCACCGTAGCAGTCACTGGAGTAGCCACCGCCAGCAGAGACAGATCAGCGTGCCTTGGAAGCGTGACCGCCATCTCTGTGTCCTCATCAACCAATGACTTCTTCCTCGAGTACAACTTCTTGATAGCATCGTGATAACCCTCGAGGTACTTCTTGTCCTGAGGCAGGATGTCCTCGGCATCGTCGTCAATTTCATCGTGGATATCGTCATCAACCGAGAACACCAACTTCTGGTTGCTGGAAATCAGCTGGCCGCGTCTGAATTGAGGTCTCAGTTTAGTCTTCTTGAGCTTTCCTCTTGCCTTCAACAGAGGAGAGGGTAATGACAAATTGCTCATCGACGGATGATTCGGAGGTCTCTCAGCATCTTCAGTCGAACCTTGACGCCTTGTCTTCAGCGGAGTCCGTGAAGTCCTTTCAGACATGAATTGATGGTTAATAAAAGTGGTAGCTTATTTGGCGATGCAGTTGTGCGAAACATTCCAGTAGATGGTAGACGACCATGGGGTCTATGAAAAAGCAATTGAGGGGAAGTAAGAGGTCAGTGAATTATATTTTGAAGAATTGACCAAGTAGAGTATTTGATGAATGTTGCTTGGTGGGTCATTTGCGTTTACGGTATACATTGTTGTGGCTTCTCGGAAGTACGGGATCATAATGACGTCAGAGTCTTGATAGTGACGATCCATGCACTTACATAATTGAGTGATGAAAAGTTCAAATTGAATTGTTGCTAGTGGATGCTGATTAAATAATATACCTTTCATCCAATGCAGCTTGATTGGATTCTGTAGCATTGCATGCGCTTATCTTGCATCAGAGCAGCCTGTCTTATATTCGGCAACGGTTAGGAGAACATGATTGGTCTACAAAAAACGGCGAAGAGGAATTTAATTTAAGTTTGTAAAATGAGGATGTGGTTTCAGTTTTGGTATTCAAGATCCATGGAACCTTATCCTTGACGCCGTATTGCACCTATTGTGCCAATATTATTTATGGTTGCTTGCTCAATTGACCCACGAGCAGATGAAGCCTTCAACTCAAAGTGTAAGTCAACGACAGTTCATTGGCAAACTTGACATGTGATGCTGTCTCGGCTGAATATCCTCTACACGTCGAATTTGACCTCACGGCGCTCAATCAAACTCATACCATGTATCACTATATATTTTTGCAACGGACCTCAAAAACCCTCCAGCCACTAACCTGTCACAGCTCAGCTCGTCTAATATTATGCTCTAAGAGCCGAGACGGTGTCCACGGCCCTGGAAGGCATTGAAACCAGTGGTATGGGCCCTGCTTTCCTCAGGCCCGCTCATTGAGGTCACAACACGCCTCGTCTGCTTTTTGAACGCAGTGACACGTTCACTGGTATCGTAAGGGTAACTTATAATTCTGTAAAGCCACTTTGGCGCCTTGAGGTACCCCAAGTCAAAGATGGCGTCTGGGAAACTGCTTTCTTCCGCAGACTTCTCAAAGCCCACCTTGCGGCCTCTCTTGTGCAGTGGATCAAAAGCTCCGTAGACGCCGGGAACAAGATTGTAGAATGGCAAGGTGTCACTCTGAATGGATTGGTAAAAGTACCCTGCAACGATACCAATCAACTCACAAACAAAGTATTCTTTGCCCGAGACCATGTGAATCATCAAAGACATCATGGGCACGTAGTAAGCCTTGAGCAAAAACAAGCCCTGGTACTGGATCTGCAAATCCTTGTATGATCTCAGCCAAAGGTAGGTGATGCAACCGTTGAGCATGGAGTGGTGAGACGAGAAAGCAATCAATTCAACTCTCTGTGAGATCAAAGAAAGCAAATTGATAAAGAACCCGCAAACCAAAATGCACCAGACGTAATCAGGGAAGTTTCCACGAAACTTGCCCAGCTTGGACTCCAAATGCTGGGAGAAGTTGTACAAGAAGTACATTTCTGCAAGGCACATGAAACCATTGCGGGTCAAGAACCCAAGGGGTATAAAGAATGACGTGAAGAGACGGTAGCTCTGGAGGAAAACAAAGCCCCATGCTTGAACCTTGTTCCAAACAGACCCTGTCAGGTTCCACGCCTCGCTTAGAAGGGTGTGCACCAAGCCATAAGAAATGGCAAAATCATCCACAGCCAAAAGCTCCAATGAACACAAAAGGCACGTTAGAAATGTGCAAATAGACAAGAACCTTGTCACGGGCGGGATCGCCGCAATTCTATCGCCTAAGCCTGCCATGATGCTAAGAAGGTAAAGACTGGGTTTAAGTCAGGCGAGGAAATATGCTGCGGTGCACGGGTGTAACTTACGCACCTCTTCAACTAAATGGTCTCTATCAGAAAGCACTTGTCTAGTTTAAGATGAAATTGGTTCGGTTTTTAATGAACTTGCCGCTGGCAACAAATCAGCCTGTGACCGTGGAACTCAAAAACGGTAACTCCGTAAACGGACAGGTGCTTACAGTCAACCCTTCGATGAACATCACCATGAAGAACATCAAACTTATACAACCCCATCAGGACCCACAACTCATGCCGTTCATAAATATCAGGGGCAACCAAATCAGACAAGTTTTGCTACCTGACGATCTAAATATTGACAGCTTGCTTGCGAAAAGCGTGCTCAAGCCAAAGGGACCAGGAGCTGGACCAGGAAAACAGACCACAAAGAAGCCTTTCAGAAGAGCAGGCGGCAAGCGTGCATTTTAGTGTATTATAGATGAGACAGTAATGTCGATAATAAATAATGGAGGAATTGGATGTAGGGCCACGTCGAGTGGTTTATTAGTTTGGAGGTGAACTCATCGGGCTGTGGTGTAAGATCAGCGGTGGAGTGACAGAGTACTTCTTTTGACTTTATTGATCGTTCAAGTAGAAAATGGTTCATTTCGTGGTGAGCAAACACTTTTTGAATTATACACCCTTGTCCCAAAAGAATACTGTTTCTGATAATCGAATCCACCAACCAATATCCGTTAAAGTATTAGTCCATATCAAACCCATTACTCCCTAAATCTACAGCCGCTTCCATTGAAATTGTTCCTATGTACATGTCCCAAATATGATTAAAACCACGTTCTCTTGTTCTTCTCCCTCTTTGCAAGACGCTTTCTATACGTTGGTCTGGCTTCGAGAATGATGTTGTCCATGTCCTCAATAGCCTTCTTTCTGGCCTCAAGCTTCTCAGGCAAAGTACGCTCCCACTTCTGGCCCTTCTGTCTCAAGATACCTCTCATCCAGTTCTTCTGGTTGTACTTGTCTTCGTAGAACTTCTTGTTAGGAAGAGGAGGAAGGAGATCCTGGATACCGAACTTTCTGGCCATCTTGATGAGGTCTGCTGATCTTCTCAAGGAGTACTTGGCTCCGTGCCAGCGACCGGTCTCTGGATTCTTGTTAGGCAAGAATGGATTCATGGTTGGGTCTTTGATTGTGGATGGCTTCTCTGCATATTGTGCAAAAGGTCTAGGTGGGAACTTTATGAAGAAGTTATGGAGCTTCTGGGGAAGCTTTGAGAAAGCCTCCTTGGCAGTCAAGTGGGACATCTATGTGGTATTGAAGATCTGCTTGAGCTCACATCCACGAAAAAATTTACTAGTGCGGTCACGTGAACAACTTTTCAACCAGAGTAATCAAGGGCCATCCCAGAGCCACTAAAACTATAGATTAAGGAGTCAATTAGGAGGGATACAAAATTGAAGCTCTGGGTTTGTCTATGGCTGTTTTTGCAAAGTTTTTAAGTATGTGTCGACGCACAATTGATCAGTATCGCACTCAGTGGACCTTGATCAACAGATTCATTTAGAGATCCGATTCAATTAGATGTGATTGCTCAGAAAGGTCGTTCTAAAGATCGAGAATTGTTTTGGACTGTCGCTACTGTCTCCCGAAAGACAAAAGGCAAGCTTCCAAACATCCTTCCTCAAAAATGTCTACACGTAATTCTTCATTTCGTTTGTGTTTTTGTTATCTAGTCATGACCCAATTCCCATCATGCAACGCTGGCGTACCGGCGTGCTTATTTGGCAACATGCTGCAAAGCCTCGAGGACCTCCAACTCAATGTTGGCCTCGGCGACAACAACCTCGTCAGAGGAAGCAGCTCTCTTCTGGGCGTCAGCGATCAAGGACTTGATCTCGTTGACATCAAACTGCTCAGGCTTGAAAGCCTCAATGGCAGAGATGGTCAACTTGTTGCCAGGCTGAACAAGGGCAATACCGCCAGAGACAAAGTACTGCTCGGTCTCACCACCCTTGGAGATGATCTCCAACAAGCCAGGTCTCAACTGCTCAACAATTGGAATGTGGTTAGCCAAGATACCCAAGTCACCGTTGACGGAGGGCAAGTTGACCTGCTGGACCTCAGACTCAGAGTACAAGGTCTGGTGTGGAAGAGCCAAGGACAACTTCAAGGCGTCGGAGGCGGAGGCCTCGGTAGCGTAAGTTCTTCTGACAACGTTGGTGGATTGTCTGGCAACCTGGCGCAAAGACTGTCTGAACATGATTGGTTTGTAGTGTTAGACGTTGGACAGCTGAGTATGAGGATTTGGTTTGGAAAAAGCCAGACCGAGCGTGGGTTTGGGTGCGTGCACGACGGGTGCGAGCGTTCTTCTCATTGGTCAGTGGAGCCAGTTAGGAATTGTGCCGCCAAAGCAAGCGGAATTAAAAAATGAAAGAGAAGAAGCCGAATCCAGTTTGTGAAATGACAGTGCTGTGTATTTGTTATGGCCAGGTTGTCCTTGTTGCGGTGGGGTCCGAGAAATTCCGGTTTCGCAGAAACACCTTATGGCTGCGAAAGTTACCAATGGAGCTGGATGGGGGACAGGCCGAGCAAGAGAAGTTATGGCATACTCGAAAACAATCTAGGGAAAATGGAAATGGAAATGAATGACTGAACGGTTGCGTTCTGGGGACTGTTCTGGGGTTCGAGCAAAGGAGTTCATTGAACGAACCTTAGGCAATCCCGATTATATCAAGGCCAGGGGTTAGGCAATTGGAGCCTGAGAATGATATTGGCCATGTGAAGTGTTCTTGTGGAGTGCTGTGCCGGCGATTATTGGGTGTCGGTACACCTAATGAAGTGATAGTCTGTAGGGTACCAATATGGTCAGCAACTCCTCGAGTTGATTTGAAGCAATGAAAATAAGATAAATAGCTTTGTTCCGAGGATCTCAAAATTGCATGGGTAGCACCGGTGCAAGAGTCCCTGAAGCAGCTCGAGAATCGAAAGAAACGAGGACTATCATTTCCAGAGATCCTCGTAGATCCTCTTTTGTTGGTTTCTCCTAAAACAAACATGATTATGGGTTCTCAAAGATCCACTCAATTTTGCAAAACCCCCGCTTAATCATTGCCAAACTGGTTCAAGAAGTTATCGACATCGAAGTCCTCCTCCTGACCCATACCAGACCCTCCAAAGTCTTGGCCCAAAAGGTCCATGTTCAAATCGTCAAAGTCCTGGCCCTCGCCCAAAATGCTATTCAAGCCAAGATCGTTGTCCTTGCCATCAGCCTTGTCGCCGCCAGGGCCCTTGTAGCTGATGGAGGAGAGGATATCGGACGGGTTGGGGATTCCAGGCGCCCCTTTGTCCAAATCAATGTCAAAGTCGAAACCAGGCTCCATAACGCCCAAGTTGTCTCTGCGTTCCTTCTCCTGTCTTTCCTGTTCCTCACGCTCTTGCCGTTCTTGTTCGGCCTGTCTCTCCTTCTCGAGCCGTTCTCTCTCCTGCTTGGCTTTCTCCTCCTGCTCCTGGGCCTCCTTCTTCTTGCGTTCCTCTTCTTCACGGCGCTTCACCTCTTCTTGCTCCTTCCGCTGGCGCTCCTCTTCCTCTCTCCTCTTCTGTTCCTCCAAACGCTTCTTTCTCTCCACCTCCTCTTGCAAACGGAGCTCCTCCTGCTTTTGCTTGTTTTCCACAATCTGCTCCACACACCAGCGGGCATCGTTGAATTTGCTGACGGTGTCGTCCAAAATCAGGTCGAACTGGGCAATGCTGGCTGCTAGCTGGGCTGTGATGGGAGGCGGTATTAGCTGGTTGTTCGGCCCGGTGATAAGGTTGCTCTGGCGTTTGTTGTTGTTGATGATTTCAAAAATATACCCCGACGTTCGGAGCACATCGTTGAGCGTGCCGTTCAAACGGGCTTCGAGGTTCATGCTGCTCTGATCCAGAGGTGCTCACTTCGCTTTGGTGCACCACTGCGGCACCCACAATGGGGAGGTCCAGGTGGAGAAGAAAGTTTGATATTTTTTTTTGGGAAAAGGTGGTTTTGTGAAGGAACGAGACGGGACTTAGCGATAAAGGGAAGTTTTTAAATTTGTGGTTTGACTGTAAATTGCTGGTATGGCAGTGTGGCAGTACAGCTCTTTCGCAGCCATTGCGGTGGTCCAGCGCAGACGAAGTGTAGGTTCAGCAGTTCAGAGATTCTGACATTTCTCGACTTTTACATTTTTTTGAGCAATGTACTTAAAAAACCACTGCTTTGGATTTATAGATGTCAGGTTGGTGTAATAAATACTGGGATGCTTTATGGTGAACCTGAGACACAGAGGCCGCGGCAATCTTTACATTTCTAGCCAAGATTCTTCAGCTACCCGGTGCCTCAATTTTTTGATTGTCCAAAGTGAGATAATGAGGCACAAGAGAAGGGTATAGTTGCAATGAGGGGAACCAAGGTGTTTAAGGAATGGCCGAAGCTTTGAACGGTGAACCTACCATGATATTAAAAACATAAAAATAAATCGTTGCTGTCTTCAAGATCTATATCGTCTTGTGTGTTGGGTTGTTTCTATATGGCTCTTTGTCTGAGGGTTCAATTCGCAGCCAATATTGGTAGCCATTTATCTGCGCAAGCCTTTGAACCAGTGAGTCTTTCAAAAACCCACTTTTCACTTACCACCAGCATTAGGCAGAAAAGAATGTAAAAAATCACTACATCTTCTTGTTCTCAAAAATTATCACTTTGGCTGCCTCCAGTGAACCCTTGTAGCTATCCAGCGCGACCTGCATACTCACCCCATCAGATACGCGTACGCTACCATCAAAACATACTTCTTCAACTTCACCTTCTTTATGACAGACTTACTCACACGCCAGGGCCCCTTGGCTCAAGTGTGGTTGGCATCCAATTACGATAAGAAACTATCCAAGCAACAATTGCTCAAAACGAACCTTGTGCGCTCATCAGAATACATTGCTAAACAGCCAATCCAAACATCCTCCAAAGACTCCAGTCAGCCCATCACATTACGTCTCTCCGGTCATTTGCTATTGGGTATTGTGAGAATCTACTCTCGTAAGACGAAATACCTTTTGGATGACGTGAACGAGGTTTTGTATAAGCTCAAGAACTCTTTCAAGTTTGCCAGTGGTGCTACTTTGGGTACCAGTGCTGCTACAGTGAACTTGCCTCCTCAACAAACGACACTCAGCAACATCAACAGAATCATGTTGCAGGATCAAGTCACCGACTTGAATTTGCTCTACCAGGATGACTTGGATTTGGATGACCACCCAGCGGAACTTCTAAACCAGTTGGGTCGCGCTGACGCCCACACAGACGATATGGACCTTGACCGTTCAATTGAGGTCGGCCGTGGTGTTGATGAAAACCAGGACTTTGACTTAGATTTTGATTTGAGCATGGATATGGACGCTTCTATCGAACAGGGAAGAGATGCTCAGGTCGCTATGCCTGATGCAGATCAGTCCTTGCTCGACATAGGCTCAAAAGCCGCTCCTGAGCAGCCTTTAGACTTTGACTTGGGCGAGCCATTAGAAACTGTCTCCGAGTTGCAAGCAGCTCAGGACAGTGCACCCACTGAAAGCAGACAAAGACGCAGGCTCGTCGGCGTCAGCGAGGACGGTGTTGTTAAAACCACTAAAAGAAAATTGATTGTTGACTCAGCAGAGGATCTCGAGCGTGGTCTTCCAACTGAGGTCTTGAGAAGTATACAACACCTTCAGACATTTGGACATTTCTCAGAGGAACATTTGACTATCAAGTTGACCCCGGCACAAAAGTTGCAGCTCATTAAAGAACTCGCCGGACCAAGCGTTGCCAAACGTAGAAAGATCTGGAACATTGACGAGGAATTGGCGCAGCGTGCTGATCAACTTTCTGCCGAGGAGCAACGTCAGACCAACCAACAGAGTGAGGATTATGACCTAGACTTCGATTTATCGTTGCCGAGCCTTGAGTCTGATAACGATGAGGCTAACGCCAATGATAATTTGCTAGAAGACGGTACCTTAAGCAACGTCAAGACCACAACGCAAGTGGCTCAACATCTTCGAAACGCTTTTCTCGATGAGCCAACTGTGTCACTCGACAACATCATAAACAGAGATCTTGAGTTCAAGGACCCCGAGGAGGCCCCTCTTGGGATAGTGAACAAATCAGAAACCACCGTGGAAATCAGCAAGCGTAGAGAGGCAACCAAGTGCTTCTTCGAGACATTGGTGCTTGCTACCGAAAATTGCATTACGCTTGACCAAAAGCAAGCCGAGCCTACGAAAATCGGTGGAGACATTACCATCAGGCCGCTCGATAACCTTGCCGCCAAATTCTTGTAACATTACATACCTAAGTTAATAGAATCCAAATATTGCATGACACCTCCATCAATGTTCCTGTTTGTTCTCTGTTCGTTAACCGTATCGAGCTGTATTTGATCAATTGCCAAAACAGTTAACTGACCTGCTTTGGACCCGATTGTCAAGGTTGATCCCTCGCTGTCAAATGCCACCAGTGCAACGGCTCCGAAATTTGACGGAAGAGGCACAGAACAGACAGGTGCCAGACAACGTACTTTAAGATCCCAATAATCAACTGATGATGATCCCTCAGGAGGAGTAAAGGAGTTGAGTGTGACGAATTGAAATTCGTGGCCGGGACGCACATGGATCTTGGTTATAATCTTTCCGGTGGAAATGCTATGAAGCGGCAATTGAGATGTGTGATGCCATATTTTGAGAGTCCAGTCCATATGGGACGAAAGCACAATAGTGGATGCCGACTGATTGTGCTTCCATGACGTCTCCGCTATCGACAATACAGCAGCAGCAGATGAATATGTCCGATCCACAAGCTGGCCATCCTTGCTATTTTTGAGTTTGATTGTATCGCCATTGACGGAGCCAACGTAGGTGTTATTGAGGAACTTGAACTCTGGAGCGTGATGAGAGGTATCATTGGACAGCATGTAATTTGAGGACATGAGGACGGAAGTAACATCAACACCGGCACCCGAAGATAACTGGATGGTTTTTGAAGGAAGTTTTGGAAATGCAAGAATGCTCAAGGACCATACGTTGATGACACCATTTGCGCAGATCGTCACCATCGACGGACTCGCTGTATTGATATCGGGCTGCTCTATCAGGATGATAGGGCTGGAATGATAAACAAAGCCCTTCTTTGATTTTTCGAAAAAAGATGCAACTGTGGATGTTTGTAAGGTGGGAAGCACAGAGAGCTGATCGCTTTTGACATTGGTCAAGTCCCAAAGCGCCAAACGGCCGTTCTCCATGCCAGCAATGATCCTGAATGCATCAGACTTGTCGAACTCAATGGTCGTAATAATGCTAGTAGAATGTAGGAAAAACTCGGGAAAAATCGACTCCGTGGATGCGTTGAAGACAATAGCCAAACCCAAGGGGTTGGTGAGATCTGACTTCTTAGACTTGGGTGGACCATACGCGACGAGCAAGAGATCAGGAAACTGCAGTGTCGTCTTTATTTCCCTTATGGGCCGATCTAGAAAATCGCTTAAAAGGTGACTCTGTGTGAATGGCGAGTCACCCACAGATCGAAGTTCGTGTTTATCCTTGATGCCGAGTCGTAGTTTCGAGAAGGGAAAGTGAAGTTGGCTTTCCAATTGGCTCTCTAGAGCCTCATTAATCACCTCTTCCTTCAGTGGTTCCGCCTCCTTGGGCAAATCATCCACCACTGGACTCTCAACCTCAGTCTCTGGCTCAATCTCCTCCTCAACTACCTCAGGTTCAACCTGAATTGCCTTGTCAAAGCGTATCACCAGACTGGGTTTAGCCACAACTTGAGGTCTGGAGATCTCCGTAGATTCCCCAACTTGCACGGCAAAATCTACCTTCTTGACTTTGACTTCCTCTTCGGCCTGTTTGATCTGGGCCTTTTCTGCATCCTCCTTCTCCTTTTGCAATCTTCGCTGCTTAAGCTCATTGAGCCTTTGGCGTTTTTGCTCTAGTAGAGCCTGTCGATCGACCTCCATACAGTCTTGGATGAAATGGTGGTGCTGTTTACCTCCAGTATGAAGATTCCTGTAGGGCGCGTTGATATCAACACTTTTTGGTACGTCCCATAGAAACCACAATATGGAGATCGATGATATCTTACGGGACTTCGAGACGTCCGCCAAGCCTCAGACCAAGCTTGAGCTGGAGAATATAGAAAGCGATCTAGTCCAGGCTATGATAAACGAACGCATGGCACCAGAGCTTCTTCCATATAAGCACAGTCTCATGGAAACAGTGCTTCTGCGCATCCAAAGCCAACAACAGCATCTTTTAGATTCACATGAATATGGCGACTCTAATGCCGAAGCAGGCGTGGTATCGTCTGATTTCAAGCTACGCCTCATGATCATCGAAACGGACATCGAGCGTATCAGTTATGTGGTTCGCCTTTACATCAGAACCAGACTCAGCAAGATTGAGAAGTTCAGCATATTTTACATTAACGAGACCGCAGAAGAGATGGATGCTTCTCGATCGAGGCTCTCAGCTCAGGAAAAGACATATATGCATAAGTTTTTCCAGATATTGACCCAGCTATACAACAACAGTTTCTTGAAAAGGCTACCTCGGGAGCTTGCTCTCTTGGACGATACTCAGGATTTTGAGTCCATGATTTCAGAGCCTGATTTGGAAGTCCCTGTTTTTGTGAAGGTGGTGACTTCATCACCAATCGAGATAAGCTTGGGAGAGGAAGGTGACCTAGAATTGATCAAAGACGGCGTGTACGTCGTGAAGTACCGCTTAATAAGAAGATACTTGGAGATTGGTGACGTGATTCTCATTTGATTCTTATTTATACGCTTACCTGGTCGCAGCCAGCAGGACATTCGTTGTGCTCGTCAACAAGGAACCACTCTTGCAAGCACCCAAAATGTCCAGAATGGCCGCATTTGAGGCCAACGACAACAGTGAGTCCCTTGCATGGCTCATTGCAGTAAACACAGTTTCGCTGCTTGCTCGAGCACTCGTCGCAGTACCAAAAGCCGAACTTCTCTGTGTTTTCGGCGTACAAGTGCTTCGTCTTTTCATTAGTCAAAAGCTTCTTGCAAGAGTCACAGAAGAAACGCATATCAACCTCCTTGCTTGCATAGACACTGAGGTCTCCCTTGAGGCCAGAGGGAGCGCTTTTCACTATAGCTGTTGCCTCTGCGAATAACTCTTTCTGTCGAAGAGATTCCACATATAGACCAAGGCATTCCAAGCATGCCCTTTTATCCATTACCCGCTTCTCAAAAGCTTTGAGCTGTCCATAGAATAGCATGACCATAGTAGAACACATGATGAGGTCGCCTTGATCTCTAGCGTACTCAACTGCCTTGGAAAGAAGATTCGTTAAGCTCCATGGCTTGCTCAGCTCTTCGTTTCCTAGCAACTCCAGGGCCGCTGTAGAACTTTCCTGAATGGCCTTCGTTAATCCAGATTTTAATTTATCGGTACTTTTCATGCTGGATTCTTCAACCTTGTCAAGTGAAGGGCTCTGTACAAGTTGAGAATTGATACCTCTGAATCCCTCTGCGCTTCTTGGCTTGAAACCATAATGAGGATTGACTGGTGATGCTCTTGTTGAAGAAAACGATTGCCTTTGTCTTGAAAGCATTGTTTGAGCACTGCTGCCGTACCTACCTTCCGAAGCCTGATAACTTGAGGAGCTGTATGAGTTGCTGAATAAGTGAAGCTTTTCATCATCCAAATCCGGCCCTAATCCTGTAGAGCGAGGAGAATGGCCAGAAGAGAAAGCGCTATAGCTTGTCTTCCTGGTGAGCTCTTTCGACTTGGTATTCGGGTTTAGCATCTCGGTTGATGCCAGCTTTTGGATTTGAAGCGATTGCTTCGCCTTGATGTCCATTGCAGGGAATTCCAGAGTCGATTCAGGATTATTTGGCATCTCCATGGTTTGCGCCTTGTCATGATCGTCTTGTAAAAATATGTCTTCTTTGGATGCGGTGTGAGACTTTCTTCCAGAGATTGCCTCACCGTTTCTGTTTGGTGCTCTCGCAGACATAACTGATTGAGGCGACAAGGGACCAAAATCCGAGTTACTCTCCTTAGATGAGCTTAAAATAGCCATATTATGCACTGATGCTCCGCCCTCACTTCGCCTGTAATTGGTGGTCAGAGTTGAGTTCAGGTCGTAGGAGCCACAAAGATTACCAATATCAGAATTGATAGAGGCCCTCTCCTCCGTAATAGGCTGGTCTTCATGCTGTTGTGGTTCCTCCTGGACCTTCGAACCATTCTTAATGTCAAGAGGAGTGACGGAAATTGAGGAGGTACTTTGCTCAATTGCGGTAGCCAACATCCGCCATACCTGACAATCTCTGAAGCGCTGTACCGAAGCAGCAGCCTCAGCGTTCATTTGGCATACGAATGCCAAGGACATTCCATCAGGAACAGTATGGTAGTATTCATACGCGAGATATTCGAACACCGACTCGTCGTTGAGAGGAATTGGAAGACAGACTGCGACAAAGTAAGGCGAAGGAGCGGCACTGATAGTACTACTTTTCTTTTGATGAAGGGCAGAGACTCCTGATGACAGCGGTTGAAGCATAAGAGACAGGGAGCCGGACCCTTGTGTGGACTGCGATGTGTTTCGGGTGAGTGGAGGCCTTGCTAAGTGAGCTGAATGAGTGGCATGGCCTGAGCCTGGAACCCCTCCAGGTTCAACAAGAGGACCAAGATGCGACAGTGGATTTGGCGAAGGCAGTTTGAGCACAGCACTTGAAGGATTATAGGTTGACAGACGCATGAGCAGGGGTCTGTCTTTTGGTGACTTTTGGTAGATGAAATTCGAAGCTGTCATTGAGTTTGGCATTTTGTACTTGGAGTCGAGAGACAACGAGGAAGACTGGTGTTCGAGCTCTCTGTCTATCAAGGCTTCCTCACTTAGATCATCTGTAAAGGGAGCTGAAGCATCCAGAGCATCGTATTCGTGCCCATATGATGAGTCTGCGGGGTCCATGTAGAACTCTGACTTTTGTTGGTTCGTGAACGAGAGATTTGTGTAACCAGGGCTCCAGGCGGTAGCAACACTGGTAAGTTCTTCCAAAGGCCGGGATATGTTGAGGCCGTCATCTTGATTTCTTGAAAGATTGTATGACACGAAAATGTTGGACTTGGTAATTGTCCACAACTTTCGTTCGTTCTGGAAGTTATGGGCCCAGATGAAGTTTTGAACAGGCTTGCCTGTGGAGGTCGTAATAACTTCTTTTGGAATATACTTCCTGCGAAGATTAAAGACAGTGATGGTGGGATCGTCGTTCAAGTAAGAACATGCAAAATCGTAATTGTACAATGATTGAGGCGAGGCATAGTCGTCTGTGAAGTCAAGCAGGTTGTGTCTGGAGCTGATGGCAGAACCGGCATTGCTGGGGTCTCCATTGGGAATGTCGGACCACCTTACCTTCATCACTGGACCGTATGCGTTCATAGTAACTTTTGGGGAAACCGAATGGTGTGCAACAGAGTCTTCGTAGTCCCAGAGACATATCTTGCGGTCTCTGCCTCCCGTAAGCACGTATTCACGTTCCGGATGTATATGTAGCGAAAGTGCCGGGCCCGTATGGAATGTCCATTTCCGTTCAGGAAGACCGCCTTGATGGTGATTACCTCCTGGGTAACGGAAATCGAATTTGCAGAGCGATCCCGAGTCGTGGACCGAGAGAACGGTCATTCGACCACGAGATCTTGAAAATGGAGAGTATTGACACGCTCTCACGGGATCTGAATGTTGAGGTGCTCGTAGCTTCATCACCGGTTTCTGGTTAAATGTTCTCAAGTCCCAAAGTTTGATCGTTCCGTCCTGCGAACCCGAGAGAAGGATCTGGTCCAGCTCCACAAAATCCATCGAGTTGATCACACGTTTATGGTCGCTGAACTTGTGTGCCAATTTGGCCTTTCCAGCAGCCGATACCTGGAATATGCTAACCGTACCGTCTGTCAAGCCACAGGCCACCATGTCTCCGTTACACTTTACAGTGTTGACATTAAACAAGCGAGGAGACGTATGGAAACGTTTCAGCGCCGAAGGATCGACGATGTTGATGTCTGCAATGACCTGGTTCTGGTCTGAGTTGAGTGCCAACAATTTGAGGTAGTTTTTCCCGCCAATAACAACATGATGCGAAGGAACAGGTGAAGAAGCGTCGTAGTAGGACGTGTTGATGCGGCCAAGGGGGTGCCGAAGCTGGGAAACACAGGTGATCTCTTTTTCACACGAGTAGGTGAACTTCTTCAGAGGACGCAGCCTCAGCAGATCTGGGGTTTTCTGGCGGGGCAGGTCTGCCTGACTCAAGGAGCCGTATATATTGAAGGCAAAGCGTGCCAAGCCCAGTTGGTTTGACATTGTGCTTTGGCTATCGAACGAGCCTGCTGGGTGCTATCTGGGTGTATGTGCGTATAGATAAGATGGAGGTGCGAGACTAAGGTGGGGCAGAGTTGGTGGAAGAATCGCCCAATGGGGTGCAATTACAAATTTTGAAAGTAAAGTTTAGTTAATTGAAGAAAAGAGAATGAAAGTTGAGCAGGAGGGGGGAAATCAGATATAATGAGGAGGCCATGAGGTGATCGATTATCAGTATTCACCTTGGCTGCGAAAACGGCACTACACCTACTTGGATGAGTTTGAAGAGGTGAAAGGTTAATAGAATGCCAATTAATGATATATGGCTGACTGAAACAAAGAGAAAGTTGCAAAGAAGAAAAGTATGCAAGGTGATCCACGCCTGTGGCACAATGGCAGCCTCTATGCTACTCTCGTGAGAATGGGGCCTTACATAAGAGATTGACCAAACTAATACCCAATTGACTCAATCTCCTGATGAACTAACAAACCGCTTTAGTAAAAATTGCGCTAAGACTTTGCATGCACAAGATACACATGGCGAATTTAACATCCATCATCTATAAGAACATCCGTATTTCGCAGCCAGTTCCAATAGTCAGCCAGCTACCCATTGAAACTTAGTTACTTTTGAACTTTTCCTTCAACTGTTAAGCTTTGCCTTTGGATTTGGTTTTAGAACCTCCCCGACACATCATTTTTAAGCTCACCCCCAATCATACCATATCCTTTATCGACTTCACCTGCGATAACGACCCTGCAGAGCATTGCCTTGCAGCCAATTGCATCCGAACAACCATTGTGCCCATTTAGCCAAATCGACAATAATTCCTAAAGCATTCTAAAATCAAACCACACCTTTTGATCGTATACTGCTTTCTCCGGACTACCCGTGCTGCCATCTACTCCATCACAACCACCAGACTTCGCTTGCTACCCACCATCCAAATCACACCCAAACCTTAAAACCAAACTATATTTCCACAGTCATCCTTTGCCAACACCCACTTAGGAAAATGCACTTTGTGTCACTTTCCCCAAATAACAAACTCCGGTGATCACCGCTTCTTACCACCGCGCTCCTACATCTTTCATTCCACCTTAGTGTCCCACAAGGCGTCACATTCTCTCCCTATGGGCCCGATTACTATCTTCAAAAAGCTCTTCTACCCGGTGAAAATGATAGCCTTGATCGGCATCTCCATTCTGGGTGCAGCTCTCGTGGGACTCTACACGTTTCAGAACCTGCTTATTTACCCTGCTTCCATGAACGATGGACATGGCTACTGCGCTAGACCCGAGGAGTTTGGAATGCCTGATTACGAGGATTTGTACTTGGAGACGGAAGACGGGGAACTGTTGCATTGTTATTGCTTGAAACACGACAGAAAGCTGCCTGACTACACCAACAAGACGGTGCTTATCCTTTCTCCTAACGCCGGCAATATCGGCCACGCGTTGCCTATCGTGTCGATGTTCTACAAGAACTTCGGCTACAATGTCTTTATTTATTCTTACAGAGGCTACGGTAAGTCTACGGGGAAACCTTCCGAGACTGGACTCAGACTAGACGCTCAGGCCATGATGAGTTACATTGCTAAAGACGAACAACTCCTGGAATCCTCCTTGGTTCTTTACGGCAGATCTCTTGGTGGAGCTGTTGCCATCTACATTTCATCGCTCATGGGGGCCAGCGTCCAGGGTCTCATTTTGGAGAACACCTTCCTCTCCATTCCAAAGACAGTGCCCCACATTTTCCCTTTCCTCAAATACTTCACTATGTTTGTCCATCAGAAGTGGGAGCTGGAGCGCTTGGTACCACTCATACCCGCTAACATTCCTGTCTTGTTCCAAAGTGCCAGAAAAGACGAGATTGTTCCTCCCAGTCATATGGACAGAATCTACGAGCTCTCACAGTCGACCGACAAGACGTTTTACAAGTACACCCATTCACAGCATAACGACACTGTCGTGCAACCAGAGTACTGGGAACGTGTGCATGATTTCATCAAGAACAAGGTGAATCCGGTTGGCTACTGAAATGAAACCTTCTAATGCAATTGAGCAAGGCTGAGTACTAAAAAAGCTTCAGCAGACCTGGGTTCTGGATTACTCAGTCTGAATGGTTATCAGTCGACATTTTCTCGGGGACATTGAAAGATGAAGCAGATTACACCACCAGAGATCATTATCACGATTGGCCTCCGCATACACCTACCGTTCACAAGGGCCAGAATCAATCTGACTGATGCAATTAGACATCATCACACCTGTCATTATCGCAATCAGTGACACTAGCATAAAAAGACATTGCAGCGATATCTAGAATATCTAGAATTACATAAACATTTGAACTGTTCAATCAGCGCTCACAAACCGGAAGTCTCAACTGAATAGCTTATGAAAAGTGATGCTCTTTATTAATCCAATCTACTGATCTTCAATTAAGAAGCTAGCTTTCTCCATACTTCTTAGTTAACTGACACGTTAACGAGATCAGATGTTGCGTTGAACTAAGCATACATTAATCAAAGTCGCCTCTCTCAGATAGATCACGATTCTCCGTGAAATGAATTCAAATCATTCTTTGATTATCAAATTGTCCTTTTCTCGAATAAATCAGTAGACTCTTCATTTGGCTGAACTCGTGTGCGTATTTTGCAGCCATACCTGAAAACGGAAAGTACCCTTCCGAATACGCATATTCAAGTCAGATCTGTAAAGTAGCAAGAACGTAATAAACTCTATATTCAGATAAAAAAGTACGTTTCAATAAATACGGACTTCAAATGTCACAGCCCATATATCACTGGGTTGTCAATTACTAGACGGAGCCACACTGCAGGACACATCCACAATCCAGACCACCACTAACCTGATCTACACCAAAAGATGCCAAATACAGACATCTCCCACGTCGTAATCTTTTTACATTTTCTTATATTCCTGCCTCCGAACCTCATGCAGCTTGTGCCATTAACCTAGATGGAAATCTGGGCGTCACCCTTGGCGTTGAAGGTGTCGTGGGACATGAACTCCACCTTCTGGTCGTCAGGCAATCTCAACACCTTCTTGAATCTCTCACCAATGGTAACCAACTTGGACTCATCGCAGTCCTTGGTCCAGATACCAACACGGAAAGCCTGTTTTCTGACGTTCAACACAATACCATTAACCTCGTTCTCGTCATCCTCGATAGTCTCGCCAATCACGGCCAAAAGACCACGCAACCACAAGTCGTTGATCACCTGCATGGCGTCACGCTTGTTGTTGAAGGAGTATTGCCATCTGCCACCCTTGGCGTTGGCCTCATCTTCCCACTCAGGCTTGATTCCTTCCTTGAACAAGTGGTAGTCCGACTTCAAGGGCAACTGCGAGGCCACAGGGATGGAATTGTGAATACCCCAGAATTCCTCGACGGAGCCGAAGGTGATGACGGGCTTCAACAAGTCCTGCCAAGTCTCGGACTTGTTGGTCATGGGCTTCGTGTACCACAAAGTCCACTTGGAGTTCAAAGGGTGCTTGGCCGTGAATTCCTCCTTGCTGCTCAAGACAGTCTTTTCATTCTCGAGAGACAATTCTTCGGTCTTCTTGTTCAAATCCTCCGACATCGTGAACTATACTAACTGTAATGGGGAGAGTTCTCGTTAGGGCTTTTTTTTTGCGTTGGTGAGAAAATGATGGATGGAGGAAAAAAAACCGCGCGTATTTGCCAGTCCGCACCGCTAGGGAAAATGGGCCGTTTGGGCGTATTTCGCAGTACGCCACAAGCAAATCACTACAATATCGGTGGATTCTGGATGAATTTTGGTGTATTTTGGTGGACGCAAGAGAGGTAAACTATGGGGTGCTTTGGGGAGTGGGATTTGGGCTCTGTGAAGCTGTGGCTCTGTGCAGCCGATCTTTTCAAGTGTGGTTGTGATAACTGAGTGGGTTGTGTGAAGCGGACGATTCCCGAGGATATTGATTCAAAGTTGATTTGGAAGCTTTCAATCGGCCGATGGATCGCAGGCAGCTTGCATCCGCTATGGCCCACTTAACCGCATAAACTTCCCAACTGACGGGGCGTTTCTCTAAGTGCATGATTGACCCAATCGAAACCGCTTTCGGCAAATGTCCGCAGCAGTTCATTGTACCTTGGAGCTTCTATCATTAGAAAGGGCAGCGGCTCCGAGCCAACCATCCAACACCATGTAAACCGATCGCTCACAGCCTCTAAACACCTCAACAGACGTGATCGACTCCTGGCCCTGTCTACCCCAACGGAGCGCCACCTTGCATTTGTATTTACTCAAGAAGGCACCTCATTCATGCCATGCCATTATAACCTTCAAGTGTCCATCACGGCCGTCTTCTAGACTCCGACCGAGGATCATAATATACACTGTCCTTGGCGCGTTGCCGCGAGCAGCTTCAGGCTACCTTAAAGAAGGAAGCCCAAGGCAATAGCGGCCCAGCCGACAAAACCAGCGTAGGCGCCAGCCTGGCCGTTGTTACTTATCGTGGTTTGCTCGTAAGATCTAACGTTTCCAACCTCTCCAGTTTGCAGACCAACGCCAACGCTTCCAGCAGCCACCGAGGAAGTAGTGTCCGAGTAAGTGGTCATGAATGATTGTTTGTAGGCGGTAGATGTGGTGATGACTTTACCTCCCGTGGTGAGGGTGACATAGACGATAGTATTGGAAGTGGTAGTTTCGGTGTCTGCTCTTTTCAAAAAGTCGGGGAAGTCAAAGGCCAAGGCCAATGAGAGCAACGAAAGAAAGTATAGGAAATTCATGGTATTTTGATGCCAAAAAAAAAAGACGTGTTTCTGTTTCCACTAGTGAGAAAAAAAGGTGGTGTTGAGGAGCGTTTTTTCTCTATTGTGCCTTGCTACGGGAGCTGCTACATACGAACCCCAGGTTCCTGCAGAACAGCCGCCTCATGGCTGTGTCTGGTCCGCCATATGCCACTTTCAAGAAAAGAGGAGGCTTTGGTGGTGATTATAAAAAGCTTTTCATTTTGCGGTTATTGAGTTTTTTGTTGAGTGGCAATGAAATGGCTCTTCTCTGGATGAAAATGGCGTAAGGTTGGTGGGTTCCCTGGACCGTGGATTGCGCAGCCAGGGTCCCATTTTCATAAACAGAGGCTATGAGGGTGGCTTATCTTGTTAGAGATCTTGATTTGTTTTTCTCTTTATATTTAAATTGTTCTTGTGAACTTCATTATAGAAGCGCTTCTCGATCCCCTGGACGATTCATGGTTTGACACCTCCACTTCCTGCGAGAATGCAGCGGCTATGCTTGCAGTGCGTTGGGGCAATGTAGGTACAAGTATCAGGCTAGGAATGTTGCTCAAGTGATATAGCCGTTGAGATAGAAGGCTCAATGAGTTAGAAATCAAGTATCTCGAGGATTTGGAAAAACTGCCTTTTGGTTCTTTTTGTGACTCAATCACCGGCTTGGTTGGTGGTTGGCTGCGAAAACCGCCCTGCAATGCACCTCGCTCGATCTACGCGTTGATGTAGTTCTGTAATCTGTGATTATGGGGAGACCACAGAAATGAAGAGTCTTCGATCTCTTGTCAATTTGGTACTTTCAAGAGAAGTGTTTATTAAAATTCCATTGAATTACGATATAAACTCGGTCAGGCCGGGTAATTGATCCTTGGTTCAAAACATATGCCCTTTGAGGATGCTGAGAGAGAATAGACTGGCAGTTCACGAAAAGTTGAAAATTCTGCCTTCTAGCGTCAAAAATACCTTACTTGCTTCAGCCCCTAACTCAAAGTGGCACTAGACTGGAAGCTGATATAATGGTTTTTTATTCTATGTAGAGGTAAATAGGGTTTTCCATTTAATCAGATGAATCAAACAAAAAAAAAAAAAACCTATATTCTTCGTCGTCGGCACCAAGTAACCGAAAATAACACTCAACTAGTACATGTCTTCACGATTCTGGTAACCCACTAGTTCACTGCTCTTGATTTCCTTCTTCATGCCCATTTCTCTCGTTAAATTCCCACACCTCCTACTGAGACACCCATCCTGAATCTGCGGACCAATAAACAACCACCATCTACAAAAACACCCTACTTCCGTCATACACCACCTCTTATCTCCAGCCCTAAACCCCCAAATAAACCAAACATTGAACAAAGCAATAGCTGAACAATCAAGGCTTGCGGCAGAATACGCAGTGACACATAACGTCTTTGTTCTGCGAACCAATGCCCTCCAGTGTCTGCCAATGTGGGTACCAGCAAACAAAAAACCGCAAGAATTGAAAATCCCATACAATTGAAAAAATACCCTCCTGGTTTCCCCTTGCAGCTTCACCTGATGGCAAATTTCACCCCTGGTGCCATACAACGGAATGGCGTCTTATCTTGTTCCTGTACCAAGACCTTATCAGCGCTTCCATCGCAGCCAAATCAACACCACCTACTTCTCCTTTGATGAGCAAACCCAGAGAAATCACAGGACGAAGGGACTCCATTGCTAAACTCACACGCTCACTGTTTAACTCCAGACAGAATTCGCCACGCTCATATTCCGCCTCGAATCTGTACCAGAGAAATGCCCCTTTTCTCAACCTGAACGGAACTCCTGTGCTGCTCTCTTCTGAGAATGTCTTAGAAGACTCCAGCAGCGACGGCCACGAGCCTGAACACAATGAACCAAATTTGGCTCTGGGTATGAAAGATCCCAAGGTTCTTGAAAACGTGGCTAAACACCTCAAGGATTCTGAAAGAGAGGGCCTCACTTCTGAAGGTGGTGACATTACCAGAGCCATATACAAGCTTGGCAACGAGAACAAGCCAGGCCTTAAGAGATCAAAGTCAGATACCCTGATTGAAGCAAGGTCAAGAAGAGGCTCCTGTGCATCCAGTTTGAACGTCCCCGGAGGCTTCAGAAGACAGTTCGTCATTGCCAACAGAAAGAGGACACCCAATCTCGTCACCAGGAACTTTGTTGAGTTTTTGAGTATCTACGGACACTTTGCCGGTGAGAACTTGGAAGACGACGATGACGTGGCCTGCCACTACGAGGCATACACGCCGTTTGGAGAAGACACGCCGTTACTTCCAGATGGCATCAATCCTAACGGAACTGCTTCCGACAAAAAGGCATACTTCTTGCTATTGAAGGCGTTTGTGGGAACGGGTGTGTTATTCTTGCCCAAAGCATTTTCAAGCGGTGGCCTCGTGTTCTCCGCTTTGACGTTGTTTTTCTTCGGTCTTCTTTCCTTCTGGTGTTACTACATCTTGGTACAATCCAAGGTGGCCACCAAAGTCACCGGTTTTGCCGAAATTGGCCTTAAGACGTATGGTGTCACTCTCCAACGGTTGATTCTCTTCCTGATTATCATTTCACAAGTTGGTTTCGTGGCGGCCTACATCGTGTTCACTGCAGAGAATCTTAGAGCATTCTGCGTCAACATTTCATCTTATAAAACGGAGGATCTTGACATTTTCTGGTTTGTCTTGTTGCAAGCTATAGTGTTGGCTCCCCTTTCCTTGATTAGAGACATCACTCGTCTCTCGCTTTCAGCACTTGTGGCCAACGTCTTCATTTTTGCAGGCTTGGTCACCATCCTTTACTACACCATAAGGCAGTTTATCCAGAACAACCTTGTTCCTGGAGAAGGAATCCACTTTTTCTTCAACAAGTCGGAGTCGTCCTTGTTTATTGGTGTGGCCATCTTTGCATTCGAGGGTATTGGGCTCATCATTCCTATACAAGAGTCCATGATATACCCCAAGAACTTTCCAAAAGTTTTATTTTCTGTGATTTTGACGATCTCCAGCATATTTGTTTTCATTGGCTCTATTGGCTACCTCACGTATGGTAAGGATATTGATACCGTCATTCTCCTTAACCTCCCTCAAAAGTCGCCCACGGTGATCATGACCCAGGTGCTCTACGCATCTGCCATTCTCTTGTCGACACCAATTCAGATTTTCCCAGCAGTCCGTCTCATCGAGCTGAAGTGCTTTCTGCCCCATAAATCAGGGAGAACATCATCCAGCATCAAATGGCAGAAAAACCTCCTTCGTGTTCTCTTTGTCTTCACGACAGCCACCATTGCATTGTACGGAGGAAAGAATCTCGACAAGTTTGTGTCGTTTGTCGGCTGCTTTGCCTGCATCCCATTAGTCTACATGTACCCACCAATGTTGCACCTCAAGACCTGTTGTCAGCAAGAATGTGATGACTGTTTCATCATCAAGCCTGACCCCGAGGCCACCAAAAAGAAGTGGTTGGCCCGTCTTGACTACACGCTCATCATCCTTGGACTATTGGCAGTGGTGTACACCACGTACGACATATTGACCCACTAATCAAAAGCTTCTATATTCCTAAACTTCATTATTTACTCGTCGTCCTTCAAAAGGTCCGTCACGTAGACCCGGGCGTCATGCACGTTTTTCTGCAAATCTAGCTTTGCCTGCTCACGAACCACACGGAACTGCTCTGCCAATTCTCTTGCAGAGCGTGAAAGGTCCTGCTGTTGTTTGTATGCATCAGGATACTTCTCCTGTTCCCAACGGGAAACCTTATCGCTAACGGCCCCGTAAGTTTTGGGCATGGCAAGTCTAAAGGAAACAGCCGACACAGCCAATGGGAAAAAGATTCTCAATGGTGCTGATTTCTTGTTGACAACGATAGCACTCACCAACGTTGGGATTGTCACACCCAATTCACTTTCGTCCCTAGTAAAAGAAAGGATCTCATCCATATAATTGGTGAATTCGTTACGAAAAGCAGATAGCTGAGTTCCAAGTTCGGCGTTGGCAATGGAAAATTTGTCCTGAATGAAGGTTTTCGTCTTGTTCATTATGGACTCCAAGTAAGGTGTGCTTCTGATACCCATTCCTTCAACGAAGGAGATGTTGCCATGAAGGGATTCCTTTTCTTTGAGAGCGTCAGAAATCTCCCCCTTGTAGCCGGGCTTAGCATCGACGAATTCGTCGTCACCATAGAACGATCTACCCATGTTGGTGATGTTGGAGTTTATGGTTTGCGACTTAGTTAGTGCGGTGCGTTGATACTATTGGTTTATACAGAACAAGCGGGTACGTTGCGACGAAGTGAGTAAATACAAAGGTTTTTCATTATGATTCTAATATACAAAGGAAAGACGATCTTTCTTATTTGCCGAAAAGGCCTTTTTTCTTCTTGGGCTTTTCTGCCACATGCGTAGCCTGCTCCTTGGGGGCCTCCACCACGGGCACCTCAATGCGGATGTCGTGAGACATGTCAGCGGAAGACGTCTTGGGCAGGTCGTTAGTGTTTGACGAGGTCATGGAGCCCAGGTTCGATGCTCCCTGAGGAGGGCGAAGGTGCTGTTGCTGACCTCTTCCAGCTTGACTCAACTGTCCCAGCAGCTGTTGGTGAGCCAAGGCTGGAGCCTGACCCAACTGAGGCCCTTGACCACCCTGAGCAAGAGGAGGCAGCAGCTGCGCTTGCATCATTTGCCCGGGCATCATCGAGCGGTGTTTGGATTTGGTGGGTGGGGCGCCGCTAGCTCCAGGCATAGGCATACCTCCTCTTCCACCGAAATCCATGTTGAACGTTCCCCCTTCCATCTGAGGAAACGCAGACCGACGATTGGCCTTTCTCTGTCCGCCTGCCATAGGCACATTGTTCATACCCATCTGAGAGGGCATTTGGCCCATGTGGGAATGCATTTGGCCCATCTGGCCTGGCATCTGACCTGGCATCTGACCTGGCATCTGACCTGGCATCTGACCTGGCATTTGGCCCGGCATCATCTGACCCATCGGCATCTGCTGGTAACCCATCAGAAGGTTAGGATGAGAGCCCATGCGGTGCTTTGGAGGTGGTTGCGCAGGACCTGGACCGGGAGCGGGGCCGTTCTGGTAACGCTGTGGGTTACGCAACGTAGAAGGCAATGCACTTTGTGGGAAGCCATTCGAAGGCAATCCATGAGGGGGTCTCTGATCGACAAATCCTTCGTAAGACCCATTTTGTTGTGATTTGCTAAGCGAAGGGAATGACTGGGAAGTTCTTGCTGGTGGTGCAGCCTGGTGTCCCATGTACTGAGCAGGATAACCCTGTGGTTGACCTTGTCCTTGCGGAGGACCTTGAGGCTGGCCCTGGGGCTGGCCCTGAGGTTGGCCCTGAGGTTGGCCCTGAGGTTGACCTTGGAATGTTTGTGGGTGAGATGGATGACTAGAGGCATCATAGTAACCGTTGTTCTGGTTACGAGCGTAGCCATTACTGTTATTGACAGCCTCCTGGCTATCTCTAGCGTCTTCAAATTCGTTTTGAGCATAGGCATTACCATTACCGTTGCTGTGACCATTGTAATTAGTGTAGTTCGTGTAGTTGTTGTAGTTTTGCAATTCATCCAAAGGTTGGGACATGGAGCGAGTGTGGCCCTGAGGCTGCTGCTGACCTTGAGGCTGCTGGCCTTGGGGTGGGATCTGGGAGAGCTGCTGTTCCCTTTCTTGAAGGGCCTGCTCTCTCTTTTGGAGTTCGAGTTCACGTTCACCCAAGCGTTTCTGGGCTTCTTGCTGAGCCTGTGGTACCTCACCGTTCAAAGCGGCACCATACATGGCCACGTCTGCAAGATCAGACAAATCTGGACTATCTTGATATCCAGCATTGCCGTCCATTTGGCGTTGAGCGGTCTGCTGGGCGGGCTGCTGAGCTTGTTGTGGAAGCTGCTTTTGAGGTGAGGTCTGCTGCACTGAACGGCTCTGAGGTTGTTCCTGACGGGCCTGCTCGATGCGCTGAAGCAACAGCTGAAGCTCAGATTCCTTCTCTTGCAATTGAGCACTGACATCGGCCAACTGCTGCTGGCGAGACTGATGAGTGGAGGTGAGCTCCTTCGACTTGACATCGTGATCTGACTGAAGCTGAGCCAACATTTGGTTCTTTTGAACGATCTGGCTCTCGACGTTCTGCAACAGTTTTTGGCGCTCCTCGAAATTGTTCTCAAACTGGTACTTCTCTAAGTTAAGCTGCTTCAAGTTCTTAGTCATGGCCTCGAGCTCGTTCCTCTTGGAATCGTAGCCCTCCATCTTACGGGTGAAGAAGGCGGAGCCGTCCTTGGAGTTCATCTTGAGAAGCTGGCACAAGATCGAATACAAGTTCTCCAAGTAGGGAGTCTTGACGCCGTAATCGTCACCGAGCAAGATTGGTTGCAATAGGAGCAAATCGACCTCGACATCACGCTGGTGATAAAAGTCGTAGAACAAGGTGTTGGATTCGCAGTAGGGCGGGAGGTTCTTGTTGGCCTTCTCTGGCAAGGGGAAGTAGGCCAGCCAGTTCTTGATCAAGTTGGTCTCGTTCTCGAAGCCCTTGACAAGCTTACACTCCATCTTTTTGATGATCTTGAACACCTCATTAACAAGACCGGTGATCAAAGGTTTGGCCAAGATCTGGCGAGAGAGGTCTTGTGGGTAGGGTTCTTCGAAAATAACAGAAAGCGGGTTCAACACGAGTCTGGGCAAGGCTTGCTTCCACTGGTAAGTCATGAACTCTCTAGGGTTGGTGGATTTGAGCAAGCTGATCACGCCCTTGGAGTCCTCCTGGGCCAACTGCCACATTTTGTAGAATTTGGCAAAGCTCTGAGACTCCTTGGCTGGGATGAGGTGGGTCGAAGCCGAAGACGACAGGCCCAAGTAGACACGGAGATCCAGGCTCAAGGTTCTGTGGAAACACACGTGGGAGTTGAGACCGGGGGCCCTCTTGATATCGCTCTCGTTCATGATAGAGCACACGGAAAGGTCTTTGGCCTTGGGCAAGCTGGAAACGACAAAAGGCTCCAAATTGACATAGCCCGTGGACTCCACCACCACAAGGGCGTCGCGGCGGAGCAAAGGCTGGATCTGGACACAGGCGTCCTGGAACTGCTGCAAATTGGGCACGGATAAAATGACATAGTCGTAGGTGGCCAGTTTGGGCAAGTGGGCCACGGACAGAGCGAGCTGGTCTGGGGTGAAGGTGGAATCGCCAAACACGGAGGAGCGCCAGGCTATGGGGGAGTTCGGATCAACGGACGGGTCCACCACGGTGACAGAGCACAGGCGGGTCTGCTGGAGCCTCCACGCGTAGAAGAGCAAGTTCGGGTTCAGGCCGACTGGGGTGATGTTAGTAGCTGAGGGAGGGATCTAAGAACGGGCCCGATTTGGCCAAAAGCACACATACCTGTTAGGAGCTGGGACATCGCCGAGTCTGCTTAGCTTTTAATCAAAAAGGTGGGATTTTTGTGGAGTGGTTGATTTGAAAGCGACGCAAAGACGTGGAACAAAGAAAGATGGGTGGGTTGTAGGCGGATCGAAAAAGTGAGCGTGTTAGCCAAGCTACACGGGCCTTAAGCAGGAATGAGACAGAAAGCAGGGACAAACAGGACAAAAACGAGCCTTGTGCGAGCGTCAAACAGAGCAAAAAAAAAAGTCCAGCGTACAGCACAGAAAAAAAAAAAAAAAAAGAACCCGCTGCACCGCCCGCCTGTCACAAAGCCGCGGGACGCCTCCAGGCTGAGCCGGCCTACACCATGGTTAGTAGGGAAAAGAAGGGTGTTTTCAGGGGCAAAAGACCCACTTTTGGCAGTGGGTTTCCAGCGTTTTATCATACAATGCCGCGTGGTGATGTTTGAGTGGAGTCTCCTGGAACACTACGCGCCCAGCATTCGCGCAACGGCCCCAAGGGGGAACCCAAGGGCAGAGTTCCACGAGACGCCCCAGGGTTTCAGAATTTCGTGAAAATGTGTCACGGGGCGGCCGAGGCGAGGAGATTTGAAACATGTTTGCTGTGACGCTCGTGTTTTTTTCGTTTATTTCGCGTGTTTGCTTGGGCCCCAGGAGCCGTTTTGGCATCTGTAGACGCTAGGCTGCACCGCTTAAGCGTGGTGCTCACTGCGTAGGTTTCGGTTGCGCAGCACCCAACACAACCGGAGGCGGAGTGGCCGGGGACTTGAGAATGTGAAAAGTTAGGACGACGAAGCAAACTTTAAGTATTTGAGTTGTGGCTTTTTGTTTAGTGTTTAGGATCGGGGTGTTTCGGATCGTGGGGGTGTGGAGATCAAGGTTGAGCAACCGATGGCATAGCCTGGATTTTTCAGGTGGGGAGGGTACTCGTACTGAAGGCCAGTTTGCCTTCTTTCTGTTTCGTGCACGGCTCCCTAAACGGGCCGTGGCCAGCCGGAAGTGGTCCTTTCAAACAGGTGATTTCAATCGCCATAGTCTTTTCTCTCGCCTATTTAAGCTCTCGTATATCCAATTGCGTGGTTCCGCTACGGCTGCACCGGCGGTGATGCTGCCGATCGGCACGGAAAAGCCGGACTGCCGTGGAAGGGCCATTTTTTGTCAGGCTTTAGAAGCCGTACTCCAGGGATCGATCCGTTGGTCCATGGTGATTCGGTTGACTACAGCTGGCTATCCATGGAGATTTAGCCAGAAAGCTCCAGCCTGGTGAGCTCAATTGGTTAGCTGACTCACGCAATCGATTTTTGCGGCCTCTGAATTTTTGGCCATTTTTGTGTTTATTGCAATCATTTTTTTTTTTCTGACTTCCATTCCCTTCATCTGACACTTCCCCAGAGCAGTAGTGCCTCTGCCCAGGCCGGTACATCACGGTTGCGAAAAATCTTCACCTGTTTCTTCTCCACCACCGTCCTCAGCGGCGTCGTCTCGTGCCCATGGCGAGGCTTGATGCTGCTGACTCGCCGTTTTGGTCGTGTTCTATCGGCTAACTTCTGGCAGTCGTGGCGGTGGCAGAAGAATTACCCCCCGGTGTATCTCCGAGAGGTGAGCTCAGCTCTGAACCTCCCGGTCATGTTCCGGGGTACAAACGAAAAGGATCAAGCGAGGGGTGAGTGGAATGAATAACAAGGCCATTGAATTGGTTGGCTTGGTGCTGATCGGTGCTAGTGGCGATTGTAGGTGTAGTGAAAATGTAGATCCTCAAAGGAAGCCAGGCGAAAGCAATGGCACGGCACCAATTCTCTTCAAATTGTTCGATTGTCAACAAGCGATTCTCTTCAACCGATTGTCAACATGATCGACAAGATCAAGATACCCAGATCTATGAGTCCCAGAAATGTATATTGTGAGCATGGGCATTCATACCTTTCCTCCAAGCAGGCAAATCGTAAGTCATTGAATTCTGTTCACCAGTCTCATGGAGTCCCTAGAAAGTTCAAGCTCATTGACTAGACCTTCGAATTCAAACCATGCCAGCCTCATCGGTAGATCAGCCACCAAGGCAACGCTTCACCCGGCAACGTCACGCCTGCAAGATCGCCATTCCAAAACGACATCATCTCCTCAACAATTGCAGTCCATTTTCTTGGATGCCTTACCCCCATTCATCCCTCACCCATTCTCTGAACAATTCGTTCAACCCCACGAACGCGTCTTGTCTGGGTATGCCCTGTCTACAAGCGCGAGTATCTTCAAACTCCGATTCCTTGGTACCACTATGAGAGGCAGCCTTATTCTCATTGAGGGCCTAGACCGCTCCGGGAAACTGACCCAGGCGGAGATTCTAGCAAAGAAGCTTGATGCTGATCTTGTCAAGTTTCCCGACAGACTGACGCCAATTGGTCAGATCATCAACAGGTACCTCACCGACAAGACCTTCGACTTGCCAGATCAGTCAGCACATCTTCTCTTTTCAGCCAACAGATGGGAGCTCGCCAAACTGCTTGAAGAGAAGCTTCTATCGGGAAAGAGCATCGTCATGGATAGATACATCTACTCCGGTATCGCGTACTCCTTAGCCAAAAAGGGTGCTGAAATGGACAGCTACGACTGGCTCTACGGCCCCGATAGAGGCCTTCCCAAGCCTGACCTCACACTCTTCCTCACGATAAGCTTGGAGGAGCTCAGTAGCAGAAAGGGCTATGGCGAGGAACGTTACGAGCAGATCGAGTTCCAAAAGAAAGTCAAGGAATGTTTCTTGAATATCTTGGATCTGAAGGACCCAGCTATTGCTATCGTTGATGTTCAAGGACTTCCGATTGAGCCGGTCACTGCGAAGCTTTGGTCTGAGGTGGAAAGCCGGGCTCTTCACCAGCCAATCGATAGAGAAATTTCTCATTTTTCATGAGCCACAAAGCGGCTTTCATAAATTAGCATCTATGTCATAAACGAATGACTCAATTACTCAAGCCGTCAAGGTAAGCGAGTCGTTGTAGAACCCGGGACTTCAGGATCTCTTGAAGCTCACCTCCAAGGTATATCTCGTCTAGCACGACGTATAGCTTGTGGAAATTGAAAACGAGATCAAGCTCGCAAACATTATCATAGTAGGTATCAAGAATCTCGACGAAAAAGTGGACCGACTCCAAATACGTCAATTCGTTGTCGATATAGTCAATCAGCACGACAAAGTACAACCCGGCGTATCGTCTGTAGACAAGCTTATTATTCTTAAACTCCACGAAGTTCGACTGATGTTTCAGATCACGCAGAGATATAAGTCTGTGGATCTCGTTGATGTGTTCCTGCTTTTCCTTTTCAGTGTATGCGTTGTCGAACCATTTGGCGACTCTCGTTTTTCCTTGCCTATTGAGCACTAGAAGGTAATGAATGGACATTTTGGCGTTTTCTGAATGTAGTATGAAGTTTAAGATCCGACTAGGAAGAGTTTGGGATCCGTTTAATGCCTGGTGATTTGGATCAAGAGTAGTTGATTCTGAGGTCCACTGTGCAGAGCACTCCAATTAAGTGCCTTGGGCCGTGTATTCCGGTGAAAAAAATACGACTAGATATTTGAGGATGGTGATTTAAACTCAATTGGAGATTTTGCTTGGGGGTTAATAGAAGGCTTTGCTATAGAGCTGTATAGTTAGGTTTCCGTGGAGATCAAGGTCGCAACCACCACTGGCAGTGGTGTAGCTTGAAAAACGTCAACTGCAATGAAAAATTCATTATATCACCGACCATACAACTCTCCGACTCAAATCCAAACCATTCTACTCATAACTATCAATTTCATCACATGCATGCCCTTTTGACTAAACCTCAAGATCCGACTGCCTGTAGATATACGCACCTCTGAATAATATCACCAACCCAGAATGGCTGACGAGGAAGAAACCTACAAACAGTTTGAAATCAAAGAGGGGATCATATTCCTTGTGGAGCTTTCCCTGGCAATCCTTCAGCCAATCAACGACCTCGATGGAAGGTCTCAATTGCTAGAGATCCTCTCTTGCGTGAATGAGCTCATGTCAGATATGGTCATGACATATCCCAAGAACGGAGTCGGTATCTATTTCTACAATTGTCAGGAAACCAGCAAGAAGTTTCCCAAGAATTCTGGACTTTCCAAGGTATTCTCGCTCAATGACTTGAACAGTTCCAATATGAAGAAGCTAACAGAGATAGTCAGGGACGATATCGATGGGTTCAAGAGCCTCCAAAATCGATTCAAGTACAATGAGGAGCCACAGGATCGACTCCATACTATCTTGAAGACTATTCTTCGAGAATTCCAGGTGAAGACGCAATACAATGTGAAGAAGTTGTTCTGGCTCACCAACAACGATAAGCCTTACATCAACAAGGAGCTCAAGGACAGTTTGAGAACCATGATCAGTGACTTTGAGGATAACAAGATCTGGGTGAATCCCATCTTCTTGGACTCCTTCGAGGATAGGGATCAGACCAAGCGCAAGAGCTTCGACATTTCGTTGTATCAGAATATCTTCTTGAATACGAACTTCTTGAGTGAAGTAAACAAACACCACGATGAAGATGACCTGCCCTTGAAGAAAATGAAAGCTGAAGAGCTGGATACACCCGTTTGGCTGGATACTCTTGTGTCGTCGCATATCCGAAAGTCAATCTCCAGGTTGAAGGAGATCAGGAGGATTCAGTTTTCCTGCGATTTGATAATGAGTGATGGCGATGGTATTGGTGGCAGGTTTGGATGCTCCATTAAAGGCTACACTTTGTTTAATCACGAATCGGTGAAGCTGTTCAGGCAAGTTTACACTGGTGGAGACACTTTGAAGCTTGTACAGATTGACAGCAAGGTTCAGCGGCAAGATTCGGCTCAGGAAGTCGACTTGAAGCAAGAAGAAAAACCTGAGGACCAGAAAGAGAATCTCACAGTGGTGAAGGGTATACCGGTAAAGCGGACAAATGAGCCGGTTGATGGTCCAAACGAGAAGATCATATATGTCACCGAGGAGAACCTAGAGTTCATGAGGACGTATGCCTTCGATAATGCCCCTGGAGACTCCGAGGAAAACGTGGAAGACGAGAAGGATTTGGTCTCTTTCAGCCGTGCACCATACCTAAAGCTTCTCTGCTTCAGACCCATCAGCTCCTACAAACCTTACTTCAACTTGAAGGCACCCTTATTCGTGACTGCCGACCTTAATGACGGCCTAGGATCTACCAATCGTGAAGGTGGATACACTAACTCTCTCATTACCCTCAAACATCTATACCAAGGATGTGTCAAGCTCGAGAGGTATGCCGTGGTATTTGGGTGCATCAAGAAAAACTCAACACCGAACCTCTATGCCTTGTATCCAACAAACATCAAGGGCTCATCCTCGAACCTTGCTGATAGGGTATTTCCTGAGGGCTTTTTGTTGATACAGTTGCCATGGCTCAATGAGGTGAGAAGTTTACCGGATTACATGTTCCAGGAAGGAGAGAAGTATTTCACGAAACCTGAGGACGACATAGTTCCAGAACCCCTTTTAGAGCTTTACAAATCGTTGATTGAGCAGGTTGGTATCGAGGAGAACTACGACCCCAGCGAGCACCCCAACCCAGTTCTCAACCATTTCTACAAGGTGATCAAGCAGGAGGCGCTACAAATCGATATCAAAAACGAGCTGACGGCGCTTGAAGACAACGACTGGTCAAGCAGAAAGCTTATCGATTTGCGAAAGCAACTTGAGAAGAACAACGACACTGCTAGCCTTCTTCGGCTCATCAACTCCAGTCTCAACAAGGTCGGCAATGAAGATATCAAGAGAAAAGCTGCCGAAGACAACTTAAGCCCGCAAAAGAAACCTAAGCCTGAAAAACTCACGGAGCAGGAAGTGATCTTGATGTGGAAAAACAACTCGTGGAAACATGCCACTGTCGCTCAGCTCAAGGATTTCATCAGCAGGTATGACAAAATCAAGAGCGCCACACGGAAAGCGGATATGGTGGATAATATCTCTCAGTTTCTAGAAGAGAGAAAATAATCACAAGCTTTTGTTTCCATGAGTGGCGGCCTTGACGTTATAGGTGAGCTATTTTGGCGTAAGGCTTAGACATGTCAAGTGGTCTTCGGCTTTGTGTCACCAGAACCCACTCTGCCACACGGCCCGTGGACCATGAATTCCTACCTTTTTTGAACTCTACAGACCACCATGGCTCCTCCCTTACCAAGACATTCACCTGAAACTCACTTTTTGTGTCATCATACCTCTGTGTGGCTGCAAACCCGTAGAGATGGTCACAAGCTTGGTGAGGATAACGACGCGGCATGACGTTGCGATGCGCAATTTGACAGCCTTTGACAGTTAAGCCCTGAACATCGTGGGCCCCAAGAAGCGCTGATAATGACGTTGAGCACATTGGCCCCGGCGATTTCGCAACCTTGATTAGCTTCCACTTCTGGTTTCGGTGGCAGCCGGCTGCAGCCTTGGCGCGGAGAACCAAGAAAAATCGGGATAAATGGCTGCAACTCCCGTTCCACAAAACACACCAACCACCTGGGACAGTCTTCCAATTTTTTGGACTCCTCACATTAAAACTAGCCAGAACAGCTATTCTGCAAATCCCAAATTAAAATATCGGCCGTTGCTGAGTCATTCTTGCTATCGTGTGCAAGGGTCCTGCGCGGTATGTCCGTATGGATCGGTCGGTTCAGCATTTTGCGCGGCCCGAGCCCGAGAGAAACATTTGTCAGACATTTCTAAAAAAAGGAGTCAAAATTATGGTTAGAATTAAGGTTTTGATTCCGAACAAGCGCGTTTTGGCAATCTGATAAACCCTTGTTGACGGAATTTTTAAAGTTCACATTTAGGGGCATTTGTGTTGTGGAGTTTACGGAGGTGGGTTGCGGTGAGTGACGTTATTCTGCAAGCGCTCTGCGCAGCTATTTTGGTGTCTGCCGCACCCCACCATCGCCCCTCTTGGCTTTATAAATGCCCAATGCCCGGGAATCTTGGAGGGGTGGATAGTAATTTAGACTTTTCGCTTTTTCCTTATCATTTGTCTGGTTTTCGTTTTGTTGGGATGCTCCCACCTTCATACTTAGATTCTCAAAGGCTACAAACCGCCTCGTCTACGGATTTACCCCCGTACGTTCAAGACAAAACACCAGGTTACTCGCCATCGCTAGCATTCCATGGCGTTGCATTGCTCAAAAAAGAGTTCGACACGCCTTGGTCGAGTTCGTCCGGGCCACTCCGAGCCGTTTGCCTCGAGTTGAACTCAAATCAGCTCAACATTTACGACCTCAAGGATAAAAACTTGGCTGGTATGGTGGAGGCGCTTTTCCAGTTCCAGAACTACGACAACAGAACTGCCAAGCCCGCCTCGCAGAGATCCCCGTCAGACTACCTCTTTGACGGCGACGCGTATGGTGACGATGCCATGGACAACGGCCCTACCGTTTTCGGCAAGCTCAAGAAGAAGTTGTCAACCCACAAGGCCGAGAAGAAGCTCGCCCAGTTGCAGTCATACCCCCAGTTCTCCAATAACGGCGTGCTCTTAGAGCCCACCGACGACTGCGAAGCAGCTGCCCGCTTCTTCAAGGCCAATAAAGGCGACATCTTGCATAGCTTCACTTTGCTGAACCTCCAGCTCGGTGAAGCACCTTCCACCAACTCCATTAACTACAAAGAGGATCTGACGTCACCTACGAGCTCCGTGGCTCTCCTCAAATACCGGAACACTCTTCGGCTCCGTATTGAGTACTGCCAGCTTCTCCTACACTTTTGGTCCTTCCACGGAATGATTCATTGGTATAGGAACTTGTGCATCGGACGTGATCTCTCGACTTCGCTTGACGCACGTTCTTTGACCCGTCTTAAGAGTATTCCTCGTGATTATTCTGCTTCCAACATCGCTCTTTTGAGTGCTGCTGCTCGTGAGGCTCTCAGTCCGTTTGGATCCGAGTCAAAACGTCAGAGCTCCTACTCGAGCTCCATTCGCTCTTCGGATTCAGAAGAGGACAGCATAATGAGCAGGTGCTCTCACGACACGGCTTGCACGAGCGTGGCTGATTGCATGAGGAGTAAAGTTGAAGTTAACGGCATGAAAGTGACATGCTTCGAAGATCTCTATACGCCTGTGGAGAAGCAGTACATTTCCAACTGCATTCCAGTGCTCAACTCCTACGACAAATGGGTGGGTTCCAAGGTCACCGTGCTGAACTTTGAGCACATGCTTCCCAAAAATGACGCCAACAACGTCAACGAAAACGGGCGTGTCTTCATTCTGCCCATGTCCTTCTGTCTGTCTGTGAAGGCGTACCAAAAGCAGTTTCCAGGCCTCTCGAAGTCCAAGAAGGAGTGTAAAGACTACTACGTCGATGATAAGGGGTTGGTGAGCATCGACTGTGCATGATATAATGATACAATGTATAATGACTAATGAATAATACAGGTTGAGACAAGGTCCCACGGTGGGCAGTAGCATAAGGTGGGGAATCTGCGCACCAATGATAGCAGCTTGCTGATAGCGAGCTCTGAAAAGCCAAATATGTTAGCTGGGCATGGATGTGGTAGTTATGGTGGTATTTTTCAAGATGGCAGGGAAGTCGTTTCTCACTTTGCGCGATTCAATCATCTCCATCCTGGTCCATCATTCCAAAAAAGTGCTCCTGTTCTCTACCAAACCCACGCTCTCCACGATCTCCACGGTATCCGTCAACAACGTAACCTTCTGCTTCACAAGAAGGGCTCACCTGCATCTCGCCAGGAGCTGGAGATGAGCGAACGCTGAGCGACATTGGAGTAGTGGGCATTTCCGACGGCTGGTGCTGGGAAAAATCGTAATCACTGAACGACACGTCCTCAAACCGAGTCACCATTTCGCCATTGACCACCATCTGGCGGAGCGACCCCCACGGCGTGATTTTGATGGTACCACCCTCGGGGTGGTTATAGATGGGCCATTCATTGGAGGTGGTGACAGCCTCAAGGTCTCTTTCGGTGAGCTTGGCAACCTTTTTGCGGTCCTCTTCACCGTCAAAGGTTCTTTTACCCGCGGGGCTGAAAGCGTCCATTTTGTGAACTTTTTTCTTTTCTTCTTTTAGTGAGTGCGTTTGACAGTATGTTTGTTCGTGTGACGTCTCTCACAGAGGGACAGTTACTGAACTATTCGAGGGAGCGAGTCGACGAGGCAACAATTGCTCGAAATGAGGGAAAATAAGGCGATGAAGCTTTCGACCTCTGTCAATTAATCAAAATTTCTGCTTCCCGTTGACTAAGTAATTAAACAAGCCAATGGTAGTAGTGAGTGGCTGCAAACGACAGCAAAATAAAAAAATTCCGTCAAGTTCCGTTGCCGTGAAGTGGGAAAAATTTCGTGTTGACCGGATTTGTTTTTGGGGTTTCAAAAAGTATGGCTCAGCTTCTCCTCCAGCCTCGTGTCCGGACGGGTTTTTCCAGGCGATGGCTCGCACTATATACTGCTCTGGGGCACTGCAGGAGAAGGCTGGAGTAGATTTTTTCTTTTGATGAGCCAGCCAGGGCCGGAGGCCGGGAGCTCAGCATGGAAAGCGCCTTTGTGCAGGCACACGCGCATTGACGTTCTGGCCAGAGGGCGCGGCAGGCGCGCGCGTGCGGAGACAAAAAAGATCAGACTATATGGCTCTGCCCAGGATCGAACTGGGGACTTTCTGCGTGTAAAGCAGACGCCATAACCAACTAGACCACAGAACCGTCTGTAGGAAGGAATAAGGTGCGCACGATATATACGTAGTAAAATAAGATAATATGCAGGTTAAACGTGGAATATATGCAGGTGCAATTTATGGCTCCATTGCAATCCAAGGCAAGATTCGACTATTTTTGACCTATAATTTAGACGGTCGATTCTGGATTGTAACTAGAAGCTGCAAGGTTCTGTGGTTGTCTTGTAGATCGATGCTGGCTGTTGCAAGGCGCTGGAAGAGGTCCCAAGGGCAAAACACCATATAAAAGGATCTGGAAAAATTTCATTGAGCGTAGACTCTTGCTGATTTGTTTATTCATTTCCCGAATTCCAACTTTTTCGGATTCAAATTTGAGGTAGGGTGGCATCTTGCAAAGTGTAACTCTCAGTCAAGTCGCAATGCAAGCTGGGTGTCATCGACCTCTACCCAATAAAAATGAATTTTGAAAGCCTTGAAAACGAACTTCCTTCACTGATGCAGCTTTCTGGTCAAATTGTTTCATAGAATCGGAACTGGCATGCTCGTAGCTTGAAAGATAGCAATGTATGTTTCCATGTCTTCCATGACATAGCTATGTCGCCAATTTGTTTCAGGATTTTTTGAAACATTTTCTTCTGGTTCTTCGAATGTTCTTTTGGGTTAAAAGCAGTTTGGACTTCTGTTTTGACAAGGCATTCTGGGTTTGGCTCCTGCTGATCGATCTCACAAAACTTGGACTATCGTTCAAATTAATCCGGCAAAATGTATCTTGATTGTCAGGGATGGAGCATGGGTTCAAATTTCCTTCGTTCAAATTTGGCTCCAAGTCTTGTTGGATTCTTTTGTAAGAAAGGTGATTTCCCTGTGGTTGGTTTTTTGTTTTTTGTTTTTTTTTCTTTGCCCTCCCACTTCATGAGTGCCGAAGACCGTCCCGACTGATCCGTTGCTTGACATTGTGTCACCATGCTAGATTAGCTGGTACAGCTTCAAATTTTTGCCCTTCTTTTTGAAGAATTTTTTGTGTTTTATCGATTATCTCCGGTCATGTTTCTTGCAGCAGTTCTCGAACCCACCAGGTTACCCCTGACACAAAACATACTCTACGGTTCTCCATTCTCTTCAAATCTCTTGAAGATTCCAGATTTAGTGGGTAAAGAACAGAGACTGCTAAATAAAAGCCGGGCGTCTTACGATGATTTTCAATCATTTTCTCTACTTTTACTTGCCTAAGCCATTTCACCCTCCACCAAGTATATTTAGATCCGGAAAAACTTCCAGCACCAAACATCTTTAACATCTGTGGATTTCATACTGATTCTGAGCAATTTTTAGAGCAAAGTAAATTTTACAAAAGTGAGCAGGGCCAGCCAGAAGCCAGCTTGGTGCCACGTCGGTACCTGTTTTGACATCTTTACCAATTGGGAAAACCTTACGGCAAAGGGCTCTGCCGTGCGTCTAGGTCCCTAAAAAGCAAACACTTGGCAATAGAACAAATTGGGTTACCGGAAAATCTGCCCTTGATGCATATTGCTGCCTCGATGGATCTTTCGTAAAGTATCGCCCAACCCAAAAAATTTGGACCAAGGCAGGCTGTGACAATGATTTATGGTTATCATGAAGTTTTCAACCTCTATTGTGTTGTCCTCAACACAAGCAACTTGAATGCTCTAATTCATGCGTAGCCAATATCAACCGCATAACCACCAACAACATCCTTACTGAAAGGATCTATAGCAATAATCCGGTGGGGCGGGATCCCAAGCGACACCTCTTAAAAAACACCGGGCGGGTTGGCGGACGCAGACAAACAAGCACAACTAAAGCCTAATCCTGTGCATCTTTAAGGCCCTTCTGCAGAGTTGGGGAAGGAATTTTCTTCAGGGCGTTTCTTCAGAAGCTCACCGGATTAATCACCTTATCAAGGTTTTGCAGCTGATGCACAAGATCATGCAAGAAGAAGTTGATGCCAGTGCCACCATGAGCTTAAACTGAGCTAAACCTCATTGTCAGAACTTAAAATCATGTCAAAAATGCTCAAATCTGCACTCCACAAGTGGTCAAAAGGCTCATATACGGAGAAAAAGCAGATCTTTTAAGGTGTTCGGCAACGCCGGATCGATCGCAAAAGCATGGACCCACTCGGTCCGAAACCCATACATACCGTTACTGACAGGGTACGAAGCACGCCTAAATTGACAGCGATGAAATCTAAGCGAGGTAATTTGCAAATGCTGGCAAGAGGGTGGTCAGGTGGTGTGGATTAGCAGCAAGCCGTCTTGTCTTGGTCTGGACTCTGGCCAGCCGGAACACCCAAATGTCATTTTCGGCACGAAATGTTAAACCGAAGTCTAAGTCGATGTTATCCTGTGAAGAGAGAATGTCAGCAAGGTCTACGGAAGAACGTCCCTGTAGGGGCCACAAAACAACTGTGGATGGATCTTGGCAAACTCCTGTTGCGGAAGTTTTAGGTTGAACACCCAGGACAGCCGCAGCCGTTCTGAAGCGATCATTATCCTCGGGCATAATTGCCGTTTGCTGCGTCGGGTTGAGCAGAAGACGGGTTAAATGCAAGTAGTTGCCGATCTCATGATCTCCAAAATAATCATGATTTTTTTTTACTTTTAAACAGTTGCCGGTCTTCTTATTTTTTTTTTTTTTTTTTTTTTTTTATGCTAGACGCTAGCGCGGCCTCTCTGGCGTTAGAAGCCTGCGAAAATACCGCAACCGCGCGGTCTCGGTTGATAACTCTGGGGTAGTTAGTCAGGCAGTCCTACGTTTAGTCATGCCTTGTAATTAGCATAGTCAGCATGATCTACTTTTTTCAGGAATCTGGCCCACGTCAGCCGCTCTAGAATGGAACGCCATCGGAGTTTAAGCTTCTTTGAGCCCCGTTTCGAAAAAAAGTCTTAGTAATCCGACGGAATATTCACAGGTCTCGGCAGGTGCAACAATATGCCTCCGAACGGCCACATATGTTGTTCCGGTGAAAACTCACGCAAATCAGAGGATTATTGCCGATATAAGCAGAAAAAAGGTGAAAAAGAAATCACGGTCTTCTTCGGCGGTCGAGCACATACTACCTTTTGCATCGCCGACGCAGGGTGGTGTTGCAAGCATCGGCTGGTAGCCGGAAATTAGGCGTTTGTGTGTTGCCGGTGCTGCGCTATTTCTAGTCATGCTGCACCGGCAAATACAGCGGAAAAAGGCAAAACGGCTGGGCTTGGCCTTGCTCGAACAACGCTTCGGCGGAATCTTCCCCTATGTCAACTTCCACCAACAATACGAGAATTTCTCGGCGTGCTAGACGAGACAGGATTTCGGTTGTGTGGTGGTTCCGGCCGGTAAGAACATCTGTCATCGATTTGACGTGCACCCGCAGGATGCAGTATTTGCAGCTAGGTTAACCGCTCTGCTTCGGACATTTGCCTAACAAGGACTACTGTACCGAAGCCCAGGCAAAAGTATATAACTGCAGCCGTTCCACTGCGCCGCTTGTAGAAGATATTTCAGAACCCGCGGAAACATTAAATCAAAACCCTAACTGCCCTGATATATGTTCCCCGCCTGAACCGTGTTATGCCATGTCTTCACCAGACCACCCCCACCGCAAAAAGCGAGCAGGCAAGGCCTGTGACTCGTGCCGTATAAAGAAAACGAAATGTGACGGTCGCAAGCCCTGCCTGCGGTGCATTGCCGATAACAGAATTTGTGCTTACAGTGATAAGCGTAAGAAAGAGAAGTCCCATCCTCCTGGGTATGTGGAGCTTCTCGAAACCAGGGTCGAGCTTCTCACACGGCTGCTCGAACAGATTGTGCGTCTTCTGGAGCCTCACTTGCCCTGGCTTAGCCAGCTCATGGAGAAGGCCAAGCATGAAGAGATGGAGCATTCGGTGCCCATCAATGACGTGGTGAACCACTTGATTGCTGAGCATGGCATTCTCGAAAACATGCCCATGGAGTGGGACTTGGACCCCCACGACGTCTTGAGTGCCGAAGAGGAAGACTTTGTTACGGGGCTCGACAACGAGAACCCAGCAGCCGTGGGCCACAAGAGAGTCAGTCACTCCCGCCTGGCGCTGGACCGCTCAGGCCGATCTCTGTGCTCACGCCGTGGCTCCCATCTACATCAACACCCTCCCTCCATCACCGAGCAGTTCAACATGGACTCCGTTTCGTTGGCGGGCTACAGCCCCAACAGCAACAACACCCCGAGCCTCTTCCGGCAAGATACGAGTCCCATATTCTCTAGATCAGAGATGATTAATCGGCCCACAGGGCAAATCCTCGCCTCGCACGAAGCCGCCAGTCTGCTGCTGCTGTTGGCACTGTTGGCTGCTAAGCTCGAATCCCACGACATTGGGCCTACTTCTCCAGGCCTTCCCCTGCACGTCATGACCCCCTCGACGCTGCTCCTGAACAGTAGCGAACCTACCATTCCTTTTGTGTCTTCGCAAGGTCTCCGTAGACACGCTTCTCTCAACAGCCACAATACCGCCAGTGGCAATATGGGCGCAAGTGACCCCAGAGCTCGTAACGAGATCAAAACACAGCATTTTCCAGTTCGCCAGAATACGTCTTCTGATGCGTCTCTCGTGATCTCGCCATACGCCGCTGGGCTTCTGCCTGAGGTGGATGAGTTTTCAGCATTCCCCATGGACGACCCTCCATTCTCAGACCTTGACGACGCGTGGAGATTCACCAGCTTGAAACCCGGCTCTGCGGGCGAACTGCTGGCTTGATCCAAAAAATGCCTACCGTTTTACATGGCTTGCCTAACTGTATATTATGCCAATGTATCTAACACAAAGTGAGGTTTGCTAATGCGCGGTACGTTCAGAGTTTGGCAAGTTAAGCTGCAAAGCGGCTACGTACGCTTCCACCACATCCTCATATGGTATTTTTCACGCACCCACTAGTATATTCATTATTTAAAACTCATAGACATATCTCATAAATGACCGTGGAAGCGACGTATCCTTCCTTGTAGCAAGCAAATACCACAAAAAGAACAATACATTATCACTTTACCGCCGTTGCAGCAACACTACCCTGACGCTCAATGTTTAGTCTAGCGTTGCTAAGCCCCCAACATTGCAGGGACCACACTAAGAAGCTCTTGAGGTGTCTGCAAGGCTATCTTGCGGCGTTGATATTTGCTCCAAAGACGTTGAAACATACAAAAATAAATTGGTGGATGCTGATAAGGTGACTCACCGGCAAGCAGCTCGGCAGATAAAGCTTTATCTCGCTAGAATGAAAATCTACTTTTGGAATTTGGTGCCCTGTTCCAACGCCGGACCCTTGCATAGATAGCTTTGTTGCAGCGAGACCCTCTGATCTAGAATAGCAAACGGTACAGATCCCGTGGTTGCTTGCGAACCCATTAGGGGGACCATGCAGCCAAGGCCTACGTAATGGTTACAAAGTTTGCTCAAAGAATAGTATCCTTCCGTATGTAGACTACCGCCAGCACCAGCCTCTCATGTGATGATTTTGGTCAATCCTTCAGACTCCAACTTTGTGGCCTTCACCAACACGGGAATCATACCGCCGGTGCCAATGGCAAAAGCACGGTGGCCCAAAACCAACAATTGAGTTCTGATCGAGCCCGAGTGGGACGTGACACTCACGAACAGATCCTTCTTCTTGTCTGTGTTGTCGAAAATGTAGTTGAACAGCCTGTTCATGCGCAACGCCTGCTCCCACACCTTCTCTCTATAGTCGTTCTTGAAATAAATATCTTCCTCGACGAAGCCATCCTCAATGACAAAGCCCTTCTTGGCGTACTTCTCCTCAATCACGCTGCGTGGTGATCTCTTGTCGCAGATATGGATGCCTATCGTCTCTCTAAAGTCCTCCTTGATCAATGGCTTGACGTCCTCGAGAACCACGTGGTCTTGCCACGTACCAATGAGCGTGTCGACAGAGCGGCGGAACGGAGAAGAAAAGAACTTGGTGGGCAATCTCATCTTGTCCTTGAGCTCAATGCCAACCTGGTTGTGGTTGTCCTTGGCCTGAGAAAGACCCAATTCCGTGAGCTCGGGATCAGGCGCCCACGTCATCTCGTCATCGCCACAAACACGCAGCCAGTGTCTATTCCATTCCTTTTCGCCATACTTCAAGTTGGCTAAGTTGTGGTAGCCTTGGCCGTGACGGCCTAGGAAGAAGAGCTTATAGACAGTGGAGTCGTCGGCTTTTTCATTGAGCTCATCAAGCTCTTCAAAAATCTTCTCCCATGATTTCATGCGACCAAAGTTCTCCTTGAAGTAGTCGAATGTGGTTTCGTCTGTCTCGGGCAACAGCTGCTTGAAGTATCCGTCCACAACTTCGAACGACCAGTGGTTCCAATCACCCTTTTCAGCCAAGGCGTTCTTGTAAGAGTTTCTGTCCTCCTCCTTGATGGTGGAATTGTAAACGTCGATTCCGTCTGGCACTGTCGACATTGTAAAGTAGTAGAAAAGATAGCCTAGAGGAAATAGCGAGAACCACAAGATCATGGAGTTGTTGCTTAAAATGGGTGCGAAATCCCGCCGCGCCGGCAAGCACCTGGGCCACATTGTGCTCTAGGATTGGCAATTTTTCCGTGGAATTTTTGGACTTGGCTGCAAATTGAATAGAGATGCTTTGAAGTCGAGCAGTAAATTTTAGGATCTTGCGTTTTGTTGAAACGTGGGTGTAGAGCTGGCTGAAGGCCTCGGAGGGTCTCAGAAGCACATGTTTCTATGCTGTTACACAGATCTCCAAAGGATTGGTGAAGTTATGGTAAACTCATCCTTTTAACTGATTACCAAAAGCTAGTCTGATGATGTCAAAAGCTTGGATGTGGAGAAGAACGTGCAATACATAGGTTTGTCTTATAACTTATAGTTATTCTCTTCCGAGGAAATCACCTAAGAACATCATCTCCTTCCATCATTTTGACGAATAAGCTCATAGTGATCGCCAAAGATCTGACTTTTGATGGATATAAATATCTGATTTATTGCCGCCACTATGTTCGTAGACTTTGCCGTATTGGTTGACGGGACTGAGACAATGCGAAAGTTTGCAACTTCCTCGTCAAGTCGGGAACCCATAGCCAAAATACAAATTCAACTTAAAAAAAGAAAACAATAGGCAAATTTCTTCGTTCTTGAGCTAATTTAAGTACCCCTGACACCTACTACAATTTTCATTTATTTCACCAGCCATTCCGTCTTTTGTAGCCAATCGAACGTTCCTTCATTTGGACGGCACCTTGAGAGTTCGATGCTGTTCATTGTGGACTGCGAAAAAACGTCATTTGAAGTTTTAGCCTCACACCAAAGAACCGTCGCTACTTAAGATTAGAACGAGTGCTTTCAAATATTTTCTCTCTTATCTTGCTCAGTAAAACCTTCAATTTGAAAAACCAAATCAATTTACCCACTATGCCTTTGTGGCTTGGATTTCCAAGGGTCGTGCACAGCACCATATGCCGTCGACAACACCACATAAATCAACCGACCTCTCCATACTAACCAGTAAGTCTTGCACATCCACCACTGACCTTCATTTAACACAACCGCAAGTCTCTCTGAACAGAGTTCACATCACAGCCATTAGCATCTGCCGAATTGCCAAGTGTTATTTGTCCTACCCCCTAAACGAGACCCCATAGCCTTGCGAGAAACAGCCCAAACGCCCTCAAAATGGAGGAATTCAACGATGACTTTTATCCGTTAGCATTGCTAATGGACGAGTTGAAGCATGATGATGTCTCAAACCGTGTCGAGGCCATGCAAAAACTTGATCTGATTGCCATAGCATTGGGTCCGGAAAGAACCTTGCACGAGTTACTCCCATTCTTGAACGACGTTGCACAAGACGATGAAGAGGAAGTCTTTGCAGTGTTGGCTGAAAAGCTTGGTGATTTTGTTCCCCTTGTTGGTGGTCATCAGAACGCCGAACCATTGATTCATATTTTGGCTATTTTGGGCGCCATGGAAGAGCCAATAGTCAGAGACACTGCCGTTGAGTCATTGAACAAGATCGCTCCCGAATTGACGGATGATGAGCTCAACAGTCTCTTTTTGGAGTTGATTCGCTCCTTGTCGCAGGGCGACTGGTTTTCCAAGAAGGTGGCCTCGTGTGGTCTTTACAAATCTGTCATTGTCAGGGTTGACGCTCCATTGAGAAGAGAGTTGTTGATGCTCTACAACTCCTTGGTAAGTGATGACTCTCCAATGGTCAGACGTTCCGCCGCAAAGCACTTGCCAGCAATCATCGACAAGCTCACGGAATACTCCAAAGAGAACCCGGCCTCATCTAAGAAGGTCGACGACAATGACTTGGAGATCATCAGCAAAATGTTCCACCATTTAATTAATGATGCTCAGGATTCCGTGAAGTTATTGAGTATCGATGTGTTAGTGGCCATCCTTGAGTATTTCTACTTCATCCAAGATAGCTCACACAACTCTGACTGCTTGGTAAGCGCATTGAAATTGATCAAGGATGACAGCTGGAGAGTTCGTTATGCTGCCGCTGACAAGTTCTCAAACATCGCCAACAACTTCAAGGAGTCCGAGGCAGACTTGTTGCGCCTTATCGATCCATTCATTGGTTTGATGAAGGATAACGAGGGTGAAGTCAGAAAAGCTATCGCGAAACAGCTACCAGACTTCTGTAAGTTGCTCAGGGACCCAAGTATCATCGAGTCTAAGATCATTCCCGTTGTTGATGAATTGTCCCAGGACCCACACGAAAACGTCAGAGCATCATTGGCATCAACTGTGACTGGCCTTTCTCCGATCTTGTCTAAGCAATCTACAACCGATAAATTACTCCCAATCTTCTTGGCTATGTTGAAAGACGAATTCCCTGATGTGAGACTCAACATCATTTCTAATTTGTCTGTGGTAAACGAGACCATCGGCATCCAATTGTTGTCTACTAATTTATTGCCTGCCATCACTGAATTGGCACAAGACGGAAAGTGGAGAGTTCGTTTGGCAATTATCGAATATATTCCCAAGTTGGCCACTCAACTTGGCGTTGAGTTCTTCAACAAGGAGTTGTTGACTCTTTGTACGTCCTGGTTATGGGACCCAGTTTTCGCCGTCAGAGACGCTGCTGTGAACAATCTTAAAGACCTCACAACCATCTTTGGCTCACAATGGGCGGAAGTGCTGATCATCACGCATCTTCTCAATATCAGAGACGAAAAGATTGGCGATGACGATGTGGACAAAGAGCCCGTCAACTTTTCAAACTTCATCATCAGAATCACCTGTCTTTTTGCCATCACCAAATTGACTCCCGAGCTTGAAGCATCCGTCATCACGAAGAAGACTCTTCCATTTATCCATCTGTTGATCGCCGACCCTGTCCCTAACCTCCGCTTCAATGTGGCCAAGTCCTACTTGGTTGCTGCTGAGGCTTTGGCGAAGAGCGACTATGCGGAGAAGAAGAAGGTGATTGAGACAGAGATTGTTCCAAATGTCAATGTCCTTGTCAATGACTCCGACGTTGATGTCAGATACTATGGCCAGAAGAGCCTTGATAGCATCAAGGAATTGACAGCTTGATGTGCACAGCACTCACAACTCAGTAACGATGAAATATAATGAAAACGTCACTCTACGTGTAGTCACTTTATTTATAGGACCCACTACTTTGCGCTATGACCGATACGGAATGTAATGCAGAATATATACTTAGCCCTTGGCAGCATGCAATTTGTCGAAATCAAAATCGAACGATGCTCCACATCCACAGGACGTAGAAGTGTACGGAGAGTCTGTCACTTTGAAAGAAGTGCCGATGAGTTCCGTTGTGAAGTCTATCCTTGAATCTTGCAAGATCTCCAACGATGATTCATCAAAGATCACCTTAGCTGCTTTGGCATCCTGTCTCTCAAACACTAAAAGATCACTCTCTTTCTCAAGCTCTTCGGAAAGATTAGTCAACTCAAGGTTATATTGGAATCCATGACATCCGCCACTCTCTACCTTGATCCTTAATGCAGAATCTGGGTTGTTGTCATCCTTAGCAATCTGCACCAACTTGTCTTTGGCACGATCTGTGATAGCTATTCTCAACCCACTTGTGCCTGTAACAAGTTTTGTCAACTTGAAATCCTCAAGTTCAGGAGGTGTATCCTTCGGTAGCGAGAATGTAGATGACTTGAGGCTTTTCGCAGGCTCAGTAGAATATAGCCTTGTTGTGTAGAGTGGAAGTCTTCTAGCGGGTAATCTGGTCAACTGCCTGGCCAGCGGTAGGGCAGTTCTGATATATCTTGAAAACATGGTGTTGCACTTGCTGACTCTTACTATAGTAGGCTTATAAATGGCTAGTGAGAACGCTTTATTTATCTGCAGGACTCCATTAGTATGGGGAATCCTAACTGTATGGATTTGTTGTATACAAGAGACATAGTTCGTTTGTCGTGCATGGTCATGAGGGTACTTAGACATAGTTGTCGTTAGCCACCTTCCAGGAGGGCAAAAGGTCCAAGTGCTTCCAGTTCTCCTTAGGGCCTTCCATACCGAATGCGATCCATCTGAAGTACCAGAAAGTACCAATGACCAAAACGTACAAACCAATGTAGATACCGAGGTAAGCAGCGCGGCCAGCAGAAGTCGAAGAACGCTTCAAAGGAGCAGTGAAAGCATCGATCTCATAGACAAAGACCAACATAGCGAAGTACAATGCAGGCAAGTAGTGGTGGACGTATGTGACTCTGCCCATGATGACAAAAGGCATGTAGTGCAAACCCCAGCCGAACATTGGGTAAATACCACCCATCAAGAAGGTCTTAAGCTTGTGTGGGTCCTGGAAGTCATTGATTTGTCTCTGCCATCTAATCAAGTGGTACAAGGTGATGAAGCAGAACAAAACGACAGCAAAAGTAGATGGCCAAGTAGTGGCAGGAGAGCCAATCAAGAAGTACTTGACCTTGTCAGAGGCCCAAGAGCACATTCTGATACCAGCGTGCAAGGTTGGCCATTGCCAGAACTTGGAGGCCAAGTCGTCCTGCTTGTCGCTGTCAGGAACCAAAGCATTGTTGGTTGCCATCATGGCCAAGTTAAGCTGAATAAAGTCCTTGAAGAATTTTGTACGAGGCAATTTGAATTCCTCTGGAGCGTTTGGCAAAATCTCGTTTCTGTTGTTCTCAATGTTCCACCAGGTTCTCTTGTCCTTGCGGAATGGGTTCTTGAAACAGACAACTTCACCTTGTCTGAAACCCCACTGAGGCAAAGAGTTACCTGGAACACCCAAGTAGCAGCCCAAAGCAGCACTCTTCAATCTAAAGGAAGTAGTCAATGGGTGCAACTTCAAGGAGTCCTCCTTACCGTGGGACTCCATGATCTCAACGACCCAGTTGTCCTTGAGGTCACCGATAGTCAAGTTACCGTAACCGGCAACCTCATACTCGGACTTACTGACAGGAGCAGCGATCTCGTGGGTGTGCAAGTTTCTACCAGTCATTGGGTGCATAAGTCTGACAGTCATACCGTCAATGACGTACTCAGGGTTCTTGTCGGTCTCAGGCTCGTAGTATGGAGCACCACGAGGTCTCTGGAAAATCCAGTTGTTGTTGGAGTCCTTGTGAGAGTAGGTAGTGACCTGCTGCTGCTTGGAACCTTCTGGGAAGGTCTGGACATGGGAGTGCAACAAACCACCGGTCAAACCCTGGTTCTTGAGAGTAACGTAGGAGTGGCCAATAGTAACATCTCTTGGACCGCCACCAACATCACTGTTCTTCAAGTTGGCCTGGAACAAAGAAGACATGTTAGCATCGCCAGTACCAGACTTGTACAAGAGGTCAAAGTGAATCTTGAAGGAGACCAAGAAGACACAGAATGGCACAATGATCAAAGCCACGATTCTGGCAAACCAGTGGTAGAAGTACTTCTTCCAGGTAATGGTTTTGTCACCAAACTTGTTCCACAAGTCAACCACGGTGTAGATACCAACAAGGGTGGTAACAAACAAACCCACCATCTTGGTGGACATGGTGCAACCAATGCACACACCAGTGATCAAAAGCCACTTCCACCACTTTCTGGTAAACTCCTGGGAACGGGTATTGAAGTTGTTGAAGCGGGAGAAAGCCAAGACGGTAGCAGTGGTGAAAAACAAAAGAGGGGAGTCAAGCAAAATGAACTTACCCAAGGTAACGTAAGACAATTCAAAAGTAACCATGGTGGTGAAAAGCCAGGTCGACAAGATGGAAAAGCCGATTTCCTTACAGGTGAAGTAAGCCACAGGGGCACACAAGCCGGAGAACATCACCTGGAAGAGTCTCATCTTGGTGTAGTCAATGTAGTCTGGGTAGAGTTCACCAGATGGGAAATCCCAAGAGCCATTGTAGCCGGCAAGGTAGCCGGAAAGACCCACAAGCATCTTACCCAAGGGAGGGTGCACGTCGTGGTAGAACTCGTGTCTCAAGTAGTACGAGCCAAACTTACCGAAATGGGCCTCATCCCAAACGACGTGGTTGTTGACGGAGATTCTGTAAGCTCTCAAAAGGAAGGACAAAACCGTGAAGGTGAGAGGAGCCAACCACTTCTCCAACTTGAGCAAAGCGGAGGAGGTGGACTCCTCGTATTTGGCCTCAGCAGAGTCCACATCGTCGGTAGTCTCATTCTTTAAAGGCGACAGCGGCGACTTCTGTGATTTTCTCAACCGAGCTTTCGAGCTCAGGTCCACGTTGACACCCGAAGCAGACATCGTAGAACTAAAGTTGATGCTTTCTCTGAAAATTCATACGTGTTAAAACACGCGGAGCGTGGATATGCAGGTGGCTCTAAACAGCCGATGGAGAAACGGACGGGAATGGGGGGCATACTTGGCAATGGAGAGGAAAAAGAGACGAACAAATTGGTCAGTCTTGTTACCCACTTTGCTTCAAGGCAACTTCCATAAAATTTTGACCTTCTACGGCATTTTTGGTGTTTTCTGTGGTGGCTGCGAAAAACGATATCGGCTTTGTGGTCCACCGCCAAGAGCCTCGAGATTCTCGAAGCGCAGTAGCGAAAAGCAGAAATTTAGAGTCTTTAGGATTGAAAATGCAACATTTTGCGTGAACGTCGAAGAAGCTGTAGAAAAAGGCGGTCTTGACCGAAAATGTGGCTTCAATGCTGAGGCTACGCCGTGTTCGCTTATGTGTGCATGGCTGCGAAATCGTCCTCGCTGATACCGGTACAGGTCATCGGATCGACCTGGCAGATGGTCTGAAAAGGCTGTTTGACGATTTGAGTGGTTGGCTTGTGTAAACGATTTGTGGATTTACTAGATGATTGAAGTTGAAATGCTTCCAATTGATGCTTGAGGGAGAGATTGGGGTGAGTCGTGTTCGAGTCCCTACGTTACCTAGTACATGTAGGTCAATGGGCCAACTAGCTATAGTACAGAGAGGGTGCTTTCCTCAGTGTAATCGCATATCTCGAACCTATTGTATTTCATTGATGTAGTTCCAACACGATTATACAGTGAGAATCGCTGTTAAGAAAGCACGTTGGTGATGCAACGGCTCTACTGCTCTCAAGGCAATTCATGAATACTGGGTTTAACATTCTCCACTAGAGGTACCAATTGTCGTGAGAAACACTTAGTTCAGATTGTGGTCTGTCGCAGCTTTTCCTAAGACATCTTACAATCGCAATTCCCCCTTCAAAACTTCAATCCAACTACTGAAGGATCTCTCCTCCCCTGTGACCAAATACTCTACGGTTCCCGGTACACGCATGCTACGAGTTACACCCTCAACTTCAGTCGCCAGTGCTAAAGACCGAGCAACGAAGCCCCAGAGTCTAGCCCCATTAGCGGCTCAGACGGATCTAAAAATATGGGTTGCTTATTGGAAGTAGACCAGAAGAGATCTGCCCTTCCGGCACTGCTTGTCCACCCGACAATCCATCACCAACCTTAAACGTCAGGGCGTATGCGCTTAAAGCCCTAACCCTAAAACTGTCAAAAACACCCTTTCCAGATTGCACCGAACTTTCCCAGACGCGTTCCTCACCAAACGTCACAATTGCGTTTGCAAAACTCCAAACACCGGATTCCACGGAAAGAGTCCCAAAACCACCGCAACCTCCACTGTGATTTCGCAGCCACCCACGGTGTCTTAAAACCACGAGATCTTGAAAAATTACGCCCGGTGCAGGCTCTGGCCCCACTTTTACACAAGGGTGTTTCGAAACTGTTCTGAGCCAATCGATTCAAAGTGAAAATACCCTTCTATTTGTAGGCCCCTAAACTACCTGCCATGCACCTAGCCGTCAGATCAGCAACCTGACTCTCACATGAGCATTGCTAGGGTCCGCGCCAACGACCTCGGCCGGTTCCGTGTATGGCCGGGCACCCACTCGTCCGGGTCTGGGGAAACTAGAACCCAAATGCCGGAGGCGTAGGCCCCAGGGTTTTGCAACAAAACAAAAGGCAGAATTTCCAACATTCTCCAGTCACCACTAGGGTGTTTGCTGGAGCAACGGTGGCCAGACCCGTGCACCATATGGTTGCTTCGGCATCTGGCCAGTGGAAATTGCAGTGTCCAGGTGGTGGCAGGCCCCGGCACATTGTGCAGTACGCCTATGGAGCAGACTGCCCCGGCGGTGCGGGATATATAAGAGCATACGTTTTCCCACCCTGCCAGGATTCCTTGATTTTCACCCCTCCACAAATCAACTTATTTGCACAATGGCTATCAACATCGGTATCAACGGTTTCGGCAGAATTGGTCGTCTCGTTTTGAGAGTCGCCCTCTCCAGAAAGGACATCAACGTCGTTGCTGTCAACGACCCTTTCATTGCTCCTGACTACGCTTCTTACATGTTCAAGTACGACTCCACCCACGGTCAGTACTCCGGTGAGGTCAAGACCGACGGTGACAGCTTGGTCATTGACGGCCACAAGATCACCGTTTTCGGTGAGAAGGACCCAGCTTCCATCCCATGGGGTAAGGCTGGTGTCGACTACGTCATTGAGTCCACTGGTGTCTTCACCAAGATCGAGGGTGCCCAGAAGCACATTGACGGTGGTGCCAAGAAGGTTATCATCACTGCTCCTTCCGCTGACGCCCCAATGTTCGTTGTCGGTGTCAACGAGAACAAGTACAACGGTGAGAACATTGTTTCCAACGCCTCTTGTACCACCAACTGTTTGGCCCCATTGGCCAAGGTTGTCAACGACAACTTCGGTATTGAGGAGGGTTTGATGACCACCGTCCACTCTATCACCGCCACCCAGAAGACCGTTGACGGTCCATCCCACAAGGACTGGAGAGGTGGTAGAACCGCTTCCGGTAACATCATCCCATCCTCCACCGGTGCCGCTAAGGCCGTCGGTAAGGTCATCCCAGAGTTGAATGGTAAGTTGACCGGTATGTCCTTGAGAGTGCCAACCGTCGACGTTTCCGTCGTTGACTTGACCGTCAGATTGAAGAAATCTGCCACCTACGAGGAGATCTCCGCTGCCATCAAGAAGGCTTCCGAGGGTGAGTTGAAGGGTGTCTTGGGTTACACCGAGGACGCTGTCGTCTCCACCGACTTCTTGGGCTCCAACCTCTCCTCCATCTTCGACCAGAAGGCCGGTATCTTGTTGTCCCCAACTTTCGTCAAGTTGATCTCTTGGTACGACAACGAGTTCGGTTACTCCACCAGAGTCGTCGACTTGTTGGAGCACGTTGCTAAGAATTAGCTATCCACGAAGTTGTGAGGGACTCGATGCCCCTTGTAACTGGCCCTTGTGATAGTAAACAATGTGATTACTAGAATGAACGCAGTATTGCAAAGAAATGTAGTATTTGTAGTGTCGGCATAGGCACTTTAATTGGTTGTCATGCTTCTCATTTATTCCGAAACTTCCCCTTTTGAATCGTCTCATACTGAAGAAAGACATACATTATTCTGCCCGTCTCGTATCATTGTCAGACATACTAATAATTTTCGACATGTCACCATATTTGAAAGACACTTGGCAACAAAGGCTCCTTAACGTCTCATCAATTGAATAAATTTTAAGTATGAATCTCACGATGAGCTGCTCAACCCATTGCCTTTTATTCAAAGCCTCACATAAAGATGCGTCGAAGACATTCATACCATTACGGCAGACAACAGTACCAAAGGAGCAACCTCCATCAGGTAAATGCAAAGAATTCATCATTCTGTAAAACAAGCCCCTATAATGCACCCAAACTCACCACTTTCCTCATTTTTCTTGCTTAAGGTTATTGTGGACCATATTATCTATCGCACTGGGCCACTTCTGCCGTCCTGCTTATTGCCGATACAACCCAAACAGCCCATGCCCGTCATTCTATACTTCCAACAACACATTCTTTTGCTATGAGGTTTCTTCTTGATCAAAACTTTCACGTCTACAAGGCGCAACATGCTCCAAAATTTACACAGAAACACCTTTCCACGATACAAACCCTCTCGGCCAACTATGTCTACAATAAATACATCTCCACAACAGCAGACATAATACCCAAGTATGACAGCGTTGAAGATGTGGAAATCGGGGTAAACGCAGACAGTATCAGCCAAGGTGACCTTGAAGTGACGTATGTTACAATAAAACACGGTTCCTCGTCTCAGATGGCGTGTTTTGTTAGAGATAACGAGACCGTTTTGGCATTGCTCAAGTCGGGAGCACCGGAGTTTTTGGTGAATCTACTTGAGTCCTTGGATTTTGATCAGCCCCTCCTGTTAAGGCCTCAGCCTGTGGGAAGCGGGGGAATTCTGACATTGGTCGATGCCATGGCGCCTGTTTTGGCTGCAGATCTGGGGATCATGGGGAATATCGATATAACGTTTACGCCGAGAGAGAAGCTCAAGAAAGACTCACTTAAAGAGATTTTGATTAATGTGCCGAGAAAGGACTCTTGCCGGTTATTGGAAGGGTCCGATAGACCCATGCATACTTTGTCGTTGTGGTTGACCAAGGCCACGAGCGTGAAGTTCAGAAATATGGAAACAAAAACATTCACGAGTGACCTCATTTGCATTTCCAAAAATGGAAGGATCCGCCTTATAGGCGATCACATACTAGACGATGACGCTGCTACGCAGTTGGTGACTCAAGTTTGTCGTGCTTTGGCGTGAATTGAATCTATGTAAAAATCATGATGACTGTCCACAAGATGGACGCGGTCACCACAGCGAAGCCAGTCCAAATAATACCCAGATGGGTAGCGGGCAGGTGTCGAAGCCTTTGAAGATTAAGATTGATGCTGATCATGCTGAAGATAAGGGCAAAGAGAAATCCAAACACGAGCATAATGAAAACAAACATGTTATTGGCATCGCTGAGTTGAATTTCCTCCTGCTGAAGTCTGAGTATGCCAAATATAATGCCAAAATTAATGCCAGAAATGAAAAGCGATGTAAAACACAAGGTGAAGTAAATGAAGGATAGTATGGTGTCGTAGTCATGCACGAAACGGATTTGGTAATCGCTCTCGTTGTTCAAGTACAGTGGTTCCTCGTCAAGCGAGTCATATCTGAACACGCTTCCATTCTCAGCGTCTAAAAGACCCTTCTCTTTGTGTGAGTAGGAGAGTCTTCTTAAAACACGGAATGATCTGACGAGTCTCATTTTCGACCTGATAAAAGACAAGATAACGTTATTGAGGAACGAATCATCCAAGTCACTGCTATATTGGAGGTACCAGTAGTAGTTCTCGTCATCATCGTCTCCAAAGTTATCAAGTGCGCTTAAGTCGTTCATCCGCTTGACATAGTCGGGATCAAACAGTTGATACAGTTTGACACTGCAAACATTCTTGTCAATCGAGCTTCTATGCTTGGGCAGAACGCTGCCTCTAGCTTGAGGGTCTAAAGTGTTTTGCAACGAGGTGCATGACTTCAGTCGACTGAGAATGACTCGAGACTTGTCCTGAATGAGACCCTCGTCAAAGACATTTTGATTGTTGACGTACTCCACGTTCTCGTAATTCTTGAACAAGTTGATATTCAAGATTTGCAGGTAGTGATTATTCTGCTCCTCAGGAATATAATTGAAGTAACACGATCTCATGTAGTCGTACAAGTCAAAGTCCTTGAAGGGATGAACCAAAGAGTTGAGCAAAAGGTTTTGCACCTTGACAGGTAACTTCTTGAGGGTGATTGATCTGTACTTGTTGACGAGCTGATTACCATCAATGGTCGTTTTGAGCGACTCCTGGAAATTGTACAAATTAGTGCCGTTGCTATGAATGCTGAATTTGTTGAACGGAAAAGGATCCATGTGGCCTGTGTCAAACAGGATAAGGGAGTCAATTCCGTCCAGGGTGAAGATGTTTTCATCAAGGAGCATGTAGAAACTGTCTTCATAGTCTCTATTATCAACGGTGGAGGTGGCATTAGAAGTTTCAGGTAGATATTCACTACCTGTGGTCAAGGGTGATACCGAAGCAGAAGCACCTTCGTGACCAGACATGTCATTATGCTGACTAGCGTTCTTATGCAAAAAGAATCTCGTTCTGTCGAACACAAGCTTGAGAGACGGTCTCAAGTTATTCGAGACCAAAGCGTTGATGGTGAGCTTAGTCATGGTCGTCACCTCATGCGAAGAGAGATACTCAGTCAAGAGATTTTCAGCCTTGATTTGAGTAGCGTCGTCTTCTGAAAGCATGTACAGAAGTAGGCCCTCAGCAACACGATTGGGGAGGCAGCAGTAGGAGTACTTCCTCAAACCACCGGTGTGGACAATGAGAACAGAAGACTTCTGGTGCTCGTGGGAGACAATGTAAGAGGGGTTTTGGTCCTCCGAACCTTGGGTCAAGTACGTCACAGACATCTTGGAAGGGCCCTTGAGTTTCTGGAGGTTGAGAACCACATCAATGCAAAGGGTAAGATCGTTTCTAGAAGTAGTGTCCTTTGGAAGTAAGGAATGCAAAGCAAAATTCTTCTTTAGATTGCTCACAAGGTCGAACTTGGTGAGTTGGTCAACATTATAATCGACATGAAGGTTTTCATACAACGAAGACTCTTCGGAAGCAGCTGAAGCAACATTGGTGCCCACGGAGGAGCAAGACGCCGACTTCTTGAGCTGGCCCTGTGGCGTGGCGTAAGTATACTTGCGATGCATGGACAAGTGGATGCTTCTTGACTCCCTCTCGATGTCCTCTAGAAGCAATGCTAGCTGGGATGTGAGCGGAGATAAGTCAAAGTTGACAAAGGAACGTGGGTTGACATGGAGGTAGTGGGAAAGCGATGCAATGAACTTGGAGGACTTCGCCTGGTCCGGATAGTGCTTGGCGAGCTTCTTGAAGATCTTCTTCAAGGCGATCTTCTGCACCAAGATGTACTTTGTAAGTTTCTTGACGGTCACAGAGACGTCGTTGATGACGTGGGAGTGGAAGGGCACAAGCTTGCGGTACTTGGCAGCAGCGTCAATATCAGCCTGGAGAACTAGCTCCAAGTCTGTCTTGTATAGCTGGAGCTTTCGCTGAAGCTCCCCCGTCTTGGTCGATAGGAACAAGTTGACGTAGTCAAAGTTCTCGATGAACTTGCCGTGGAGGTTCACGAGAGAGGCCGGCTCTTGCTTCTGCGTGATGCCACGGATAGACGCTTTCAAGTCATTGTAGTCGATGTTGTAGACCTTCCACTCCGGTATTGATAGGCAAGCAAGGTTCTGGCCAAACTTCATGCAAAGGAAGGAGCGGCTGGTGGGTGACTATGGAGGGGTAGGAGATGAGATTGATGAGCCCGTTCTTGAGATATGATGGCCAGGGAACAAAAGTGGGATCCGGAAATAGGAAAGAATAAGCCGAAAGGTGGGAGGGAAAGAAGACCTTATATACCGCCGCTGCACCAAAACGCAGTGCTATCTCAATGACACAATCACTAAAGCTCAATGTACGTTTTGTGCCGCGCGCGATCATAGGATGAGAGAGATTCTGCCGCACTGCACCACGTGGACGATAAGGTAGGAGGTTGGAAGAGGATGGAGGGGAAGGAAAACGACCAGATTGACGGATTCTTCACGTTTGACTATAAATACGGTGGGTTCCCACTCTTGAGAGAGAAGTTTCAGGGTTTTTCTGTGGGGGCTTCGTGGCTGCAGCTTGGCGGGCACACGAGTTAATTCTGTATTGGGTGCAAAAGAATTAGGCAGATTGCGCTTCGATCGCACGAGCCACCAGCCTCCACTAGTCAATACAAGGCCGATACGGAGCCTCATAAAGGGTCCTATTGTGCGTGTGGAGAAGCTTGCATTTGTTGAGTTCAGGAAGATTCTTCTGCCATCTTTTGGAAGAGTTTTCTGACGGGTTTGCAAATTTTCTTCCCCGACATCGCTGTCGTCACACATTAAGCCTTTGTACTTAAATCAGACTGGGGCGCTCGTCGGGAATACGTACTTGCTCGCCCGCACCAGCCACAAGGGGTGTTTTTCACTTTCCATATCATTCAAGAATCACTGACGATTATTATTTACTTTCAACGCAGTCACCGTATACTTTTTGGTCTTGAACAATGGCCTTCGAGGTTGCTGGAGGTCCCCTCGTCTTATCTCTGCTGCGGCGAGTAGATCGCATTTTGCGCTTTTTTTTTTTTTTTCAGAGCGGCTCTGCGTCGTCTTGGTCTGCCTATGTCAGAGTCAGATAACAATTTTTCATTTGTCAAGCCTATTGGCGATTACGGAAAATCACAAAGTCTTTTGACTATAAACTTCTCTCAATATAACGG